AGAGGCAGAGTGAGCAGACAACCCCTGCAATGAATCATCACTGTTGTTAGTACTGGAGATTGATCCTAGGGTCTTTCCAGTGAGCTGTCTCCTCAGCCCTTGCTTATTTTTTATTTTGAGACAGGATCTCAACAAGGTGCTAAATTACCCAGACTGGGCTTGAGTTTGAGATCCTCCTGCCTCAGCTTCCCAGAACGCTAGGATCGCAGGTATGCACCACTGCACCCGGCTCCATCTCTGTCTCTGTCTCTCAGCACACGTGCAGGAGCGCATGCACACACACACACACACACACACACACACACACACACACGGGAACACACACATGTGCACTGCAGAACAGTTTAACGTATCAGCGCTGGAGACGTCAGCAGGGTGTGTTACCCACTCTCTACCTTTCCTTTAGAGGAAATTTCGCCAGTGCCCTTAGCTTTCAACAAAACAGCATAAATAATTTAAACTACCATAAAAAGCGCTATCTGATACGAAGGGCGGAAGATTTAGCGACTGTCTGCAGGGCCAAGGGTTCTGCCACCATCCTGGTTTCTCCTGGGGTTTGGAAATGACAAACACAGCTCCTCCCTCTGTGGCTTTGTCCCCAAGGAGTGGCTCCTTGGGGACTGCAGTGCGCGGTCCCTAGCAAGCAGCATCTCCTGCCTGAGCTACAGCCTCTATCTGGGGACTGCGATGGACAGTCCTGTCTGGAGGGCTCCTGGGAGAGGTCGCCAGTTGTCATCCACACACAGGGCTGTGGCCATGGCCACCCTGGAGAGGCCAGGAATAGATGATAGACTGGAGGCAGAAGGGCCAAGAAGCTAAACAAAAGCCATGTGTGGTGGCGCATGCCTGTCATCACAGCACTCCAGAGGCTGAGGCAGGAGGGTTGCTGAGTTTGTGGTCAGCCTGGACTACAGAGCAAGACCTTGTCTCAAGAAAAAAAGAAATGCTAAACAAAGACAAAGGCATTTGTGAGGAGGCAGGTGACATCTGGATTCTGGGAGAGGAAATAAAGGCTGCTTGGACATGGGGTGTGGCTGTGGGTGCTGGGGGACAGGAGGAGCTGTAGGGTCACAGTGCAGATGGGAATTAGCAAAAGTGCTATCAACATGCTTGTGATCCCACCACACTCTGGAAGGCTGAGGCAGGATGATCCCAAATGTGAACACAGCCTGGGCAACTTGCCAACTTAGTGAGACTGTGTCTCAAAATTTTAAAATCTCAGTACCAAAAAAACCCCACATGATAATAACAAAGTACATATACTGCTAGAAAAAAGAACAAATTCAGGCACACTGCTGGGGAAAAGCCAGTCTTCCCTCATTACTCTTTAGTAGCTCTTGCATTTTGAGCTGAGTACCTACTGTCTATTCAAAAGAGTCAATTAAAAAGGAAACAACTCAGGTGTCGTGGCCCACACCTGTGAGCCCAACCCTTGGGAGGCTGAGGCAGCGGGATTACAGCAAGTTTGAAGCCAGACGGGGCTACATAGTGAGACCCTGTCTCAAAATACCAAAATGCAAAACAGAAAAAGGAAACTCTTAAGGCCCTTGGGCCACACCCACAGAGTGGACCCCGGAGGCGAGGAACTGGATGCGGTTTGTCCCTTCTAACACTCATGTTGAAATCTGCGCTGAGATGCTGGGACCCAGTGAAGGCCGGGGTCCAAGCCACACCGGGCTTGGCGTGGGGTCACTGCGACCAAAGCTGCCCTTCCTGTTTGGTCTCTTGCCCTGTGTGTCCTCCTGCTCGGTGCTATCCCCAGAAGGGAGGCAGATGCCGGCCCCAGCCTCTGGGACTAAGCGCTAAAGTAAATGTCTGTTCTTTTCGCTTTCACATGCTGGAATGGAGTCCAGGGTGTCACACACACTGAGCAAGTGCTGTCACAGAACTCCATCCTCAGGCCTTTATTTTTGAGAGAGGTCTCACTGAATTGCCCAGGTTGTCCTAGAACTTGTAATCCTCCTGCCTCAGCCTCCCAAGTAGCTGGGATGACAGACTGCACCGCACGCCCAGCGGAATCACTATTCTTTCTAAATCACTTGGCCTCAGGGATTTTGTTACAGTAATAGAATATGGACCTGGACCCAGACAGGCGGGACATGCCACACCATTGGGAGTGCACCACATACCATGGAATCGTATGCTTTGTGGGTTTTAAGTTAAAACCAGCCGTAAATAAAAATACAGATGTAACAATACTGAAATTCAGAATTTGTATTTAAAAAGAGACCATAACAAAGCTGTCAGGCAGACACTAGCTTGGGAGGAGACATTCACAATTTCGAAAACTGAAGAAGGAGCAAAGTTCTACAAAAAGACAAAAGAACCCCTATAAACCATCAAGAAGAAGGAGAGAGAAACTACTGTGTAAAGGCAGACAATACCCAGAAGGAGAGACCTGTACAGCTGGTTAGGTTTTGTTGTTAAGACGGTCTAGCTGCATAGCTCAGGCTGGCTTCGAACTCAGTGATCCTCCTGCCTCAGCCTCCCAAGCACTGGGGATTACACCACATTTTCTAAGATACCTGCAACAAGACCTCCCTGAGCTGCAGGTCAAGCTCCATGGGAGCAGGTGCTTAGCATGTAAGGGCAGGGGTTCCATCCCCAGCATTAAAATAAAACAAAACTCCTATCTTATATGGTTCTTGTTCGTTTTGTTTTAAACACCAAAGAAATGGCTTCTGCCTTATGGGAAAAGCAAGGCATGTACAATGGACCACGTTTTTGGATTTACAGAGCAGCTCATGGCTTCCGAGCTCTGCTTTCACATGATGCCTGACCCCTGCACTCCGGTTCTCAACCACAGCAGGTCCAACATCTTGAGTCAAAACTGCAACTCTGCTCTCGACTCTCTGGAAGCAGAATTCATAGACTGTACCGACCTGCCTCGCCTGTTTTGTTCTGTTCTGACAGAGCAGGGACTCGAACCCATGGCCTCACGTTTGTTAGGCAGATGCTCTTCAGAAAGGACACAGGGCTCTGGAGGAAGAGGAGTCGCGCTGCTCTACTCACCCAGGACGCTGACCATCGGGACAGCAAGGGCCCCAGGGAGCAGTGGCTGCGTCCTTGATGCAGATGGAGTCCCGAGGTAGTGAGGGTGACTCAGGCTTTTGGTTGAGCAATTTGGAAACAAGAAGCTGCCATTCACGGCAAGGAGAGGAGCAGGCTGGGGTGACACAGAAGCTCCAGTTCGCACATGCTAAGCCCAAAGGCCTTTGGACATCTGCGATGTCCAGCACACGTCAGTTTGGGCCCCACAGCGAGGCCTGATGAGTGAAAGCTGCACCTGAAGCTGTCTGACCCTAGCTGATGCCCAGGCTAGGGCCCCTCCAGAATGCTCCACTGCCTCTCTGGATGTCCTGGGACCTTTGGAACCACCCTGGACTGGACCACTCTTGAGTGGGGAGGTGACAGAACCCCTGGGTTCATGGGCTTGGTCCCTCCATACCCTACTTCCCATGGCTGTGGAGGATCTGGTGAGTTAATATACATGCGGGTGACTCGCACCCAGGGCACATTCACAAGATGAAAATTATAGCAGGGCGTGGTGGTGCATGCCTGTAATCCCAGCACTCGGGACGCTGAGGCAGGAGGATCCTTGTGAGATAGAGGCCAGCCTGGGCTACAAAGTGAGCTCAAGGCCAGCCTGAACTGCACAGCGAGACCCTGTCTCAGAAAGACCAAAAAAAAAAAAAAAAACCAAAACCCAAGATGAAAATTAGTCACCAATCCAGGTGACAATCACGCCTGCATGAGACCCACATGACGCTCAGGCCGTCGCCCGTGAGGCCTTCAGTCACAGAGGAGCGTCAGACAGTGCCTGCTCAGGTCACCTCTGTACGCGATAAGTCACCATTTCATGTACCAAACCCAGAAAGAGTGGAAGAACGCGCTCCCTGGCTTGTCCACTGATGTTCTGGCAATGCCTCCTTACAGCCCACCCAAGAGCGAGTCAGAAAACAGGAAGTTATTTCAGTCTTTCCAGAACCGCTCTGCTCCTGCTGATCCGATTCTGTCTCCTTCCTCTTGGGCAACCTTCCGTGTAGTCAAGATGTATTTCTGAAATATTTTGGAACACCCATAATTAACAGATTGAGAACTAACACCAGTTGCTGTAAAAAATAAATAAATAAATAAATAAAAAAGCCACCCCAAGATTCTAAAAGGAGAACTCAGAAGCATGTTCCCCAAAGAGAGAAGCACGGGCTGCACCCAGGCCCCCTGGACCCAAGGACCTAACTCAAACCTAACCCGAACCCGAATCCACCAAGGCAGAGAATTCCAAACCCACCTCCTACAGCAGTCACTGTGGGCCACCGGGAACTCAAGCCCCCAAACAACCTGCGCCTCCTGGCGCTAGTAAATACCCTTGCTGTGTAGGTATTTAAATCAACTCGGTACAGAGTAAACTAAATTAACAGGATCATCTCCAGATGCTCACTTCGATTGGCTAAAACTTGCTATAAATGAATACTGTACACTGTACTTCTGGGAAGTATTCCAGACACGGTGCGGCCCCACAGGCTAGGTTCCATCCGGGCAAGCGTCTAGAGCCGGATCTTGGGCTCAACAGGCTAAATGACATTGCGCAAGTCACCTACCTCTCAACGTCCCACACCCCGGCCTATTTAAGACAAATCAACAACCCGAAATAATCAGCAGTACTGTCTTCCGAGAGGCTGGCCCCATAAGGGCACAGGCCTTTGTTTGCTGAGGGCCTGGCACACGGAAACGCCACAGCGCTGCCTGTTGCTAACGGGTCTCTACAATGGAGGACCTGGGAAGATGCTAATGAGTGGGAGGGGCTCGGACATCAATCTGGCCAATCAGAGCAAAGACCTCCAAGGTCCGTAACCCTGGAGACGGGCAGAAGACCCAGTGGGACAGAGCCGCAAAGGAGCCCCAAGCTGCCGCATGGGAAAGGCTCTGGGAAAGTCTGTCGCACACTCACTGCCTCTCGCACCCCCACCCTTTTCTTCCACAAAGAGAAGAGACTCAGGTTCCTTCTTGCTGTATATCACCGTTTATTGTTGCTTGCGTTAGGAATCGAACAGAGGACATTGTCTGTGGAGGGGCGGGGAGAGCAAAGAAAGTATGTATTTTAGACTTAATTTCTTCCAAACACTTCATGGTTTCAAACCCTTTTTACCCCAAAAGAAACTAGAATTCAAGTATGTCGCGAAGGGAGTGGTAACACAAAGCGTGTGTGTGGGCTGCGGGGGCTGCAGGCAGCAGACACCCGGCCGCCTTTCTTGCACTCTGTTCTGCTTTGGTAAGGCCGAGCCCCCGCCTCCGACCCCAGACTCAAGCTCAAGGGCTGACCACCTGCCCTCGTAGGGTAAGGGCGAAGGTCTCGAACCCACAGATAGTATCAAAAAAAGAAAGAAGGAAACCAACCCTCATCCCCCTTCAAAAATCCTGCAGCCCCGCACTGCACGAGCCCCTCTGCTGCACTATCTGTCCCTTCGAGTCCTAACGGGGCTTCTTCTAAGGGCCAGAGCGACAGGAGTCTCTTCATTTTGCTTTATCATAAAAAAATTTAAAGGGGACATTTCAAAAGGAAAAAAAAAACAAATTCAAATTCTGAAAATATCTTGCCTTTTTTATTAATCATGTCATCTAACACCCATTAAAAAAACAAATATGTGAATATGATATAAAAATACGATCCCAGGATTAACACTTTGTTGCAGGCACAGTTATTTCACAGAATATATGTTTGGAGGGCTGGGGAAAGGAGTTTGTTTTTTGTTTTTGCTTCTTAAAAAAAAAAAAATCCACAGCAGTGCAAGTAGGGTCAGGAAGGGGGAGGAAAGGGGAGATTCTTTAGCAGCAAAATGTCCAAGTTCGCGAATCACAATCAAATCAACGGATACTGGATAAAAAAAAAAAAAATGAAAGGGACGCTGCCCGGACCATCTGTCATCACTGAACGCTCTCGTCGCAAAAGCCCCAACTGCGACATGTGAAGGACGCGCTTCATTACGCAAGCATTCATCAAGCCTGTCCCTCAAGCTCCCGACTGGGTGTCACTTAAATATATGTACAGGAATTGGGCTCCTCTTCCCATCCGGGGCCCTGCGCGTCTCTGCAGTTTGGTCGCTTGGGATGGGCTCGCAGGGACGGGGCCACACCCGGCCCCTAACACAGCAGCGGTTTTGCTCAGCACAGGGGCTGCTCCTGCCTGTCCCGCTGTCCTCGGCTGCTTCCAGCAGACGGTGGCGGAGGGGACAGTTAATGATCGCTGTTCTGTTTCTCTCGCATCCATGCCTGGATCTGTTCTTTCAGTTCTGGCACTGAGGGGAGAGAAAGAAGCGGGATTAACGGCCCAGCTGGGAGTGTACTGTCTAGATGTGGCTCTAGTCCTGGACCAGGGGAAGAAACCGAACCCGGAAAGGACGGGGCCTCCCTGCCGCAGGGCTCCAGCAGCCCTGCCCGCCTACCTGGCTCCAGCATGCTCTCGGTCAGTGTCTGCCGGTTGAACGGGTCGGTGGGTGAGTTCAGCAGGTGCCGCAGGATGATGGAGCGGTCCATGATGGTGCCGGAGGGCAGGCGCACAGGATCAGTCATCAGTGTGTCCATCAGGGGGTCTGCAGGGACACAGCAGGGCAGGCTCAGAGCTAACCCGAGGTCAGGTGGAAGAGAGGACAACCTGAGCCCCTGCCACCAAGGAGCAACCAGGGGCCGCTAGTGGGCCCCTGAGTTTAGGAGGAAATCAGCGGGAGCTCAAGGCATGAGCACTGCCTTTTCAGATGGGAAAGCACCCTTTTGTCACAACTGCTGGGAGGAGAGGACTTAAAAGACAGTGGGACGGTCACACAGCAGGGCTGGCAGACCAGGACCCTTTGTCTTTTGTTGCTGTCACTGCTTGTTTTGGCAGTACTGGGGACTGAACTCAGGACCTCTGCACTGAGCTACATCCCTAGCATTTAAAAAAAAAAAGTTTGCAACAGAGTCTAGCTAAGTCCCTTAAATTGCCCAGGTCTGGCTTGAATCTTCCTGCCTCAGCCACCCAGAGTGCTGGGATTACAGGGGTGTGCTGGGATCCTTTGTTTTAAAATGTCTCTTAATTCTTTGAAAGTCTGAATCCTCACTTACAAAGGCAAAGCTGCCCTTACAACACTGCCAGGGATGATGTGTGGTTTGATATCAGGCTAAGAACATTTCTTTCCTTTTAATTTATAAGTCAGGTGTGGTGGCGCATGCATGCTTGTGATGCCAGCACTTGGGAGGCTGAGGTAGGAGGATCACAAGTAGGAAGCCAGCTTGGTCTACATAGTGAGCTCAAGGCCAGCCTGAAAAACAGCAAGACCCCGGCTCAACAAAACAAAAACACTTTTTAATTTACAGTATCAGTTCAAAATTGGCAAACATCATTTCAAACAGAGCTCCTCAAAGCAGCCGTAGCACACCATCAGAACACCAAAAGCGGGCGCTGCCTTGTGAACTTGAAGAGGTCAGCTGGGAAGAGCGGCCACTCGCCTCGGAACTCGTCTGGGGCGTCGCTGTAGTCGATCTCCGCGCGCGCGTTCTTGGCCACGATCTCCTCCACCTTCTCGGCAAGGAGTTTAAACTTCTCTATCGCTATGGTGGACTTGATCCCTGCTTTCCGCATCTTTGAAATGACTTCTTCGAACAGCTCCTTGCTGTAGGATCTCTGCAAAGACCAGAGGCCGCGCACGGTGTGAGTACGCTGGAGGCAGAGAGACCAGGCTGCAAACGGGACCCACCCTAAACTTAGACTCGATTACACAGGACGTGCGTTCCCACCCAGCCTTTCTCTGTGCGTTCGTAGCTACGCGGAAGGACCCGCCGCTGAGGGGCTGGGGTGCCCGCAGCTCGGTGGCACAGTGCTTGTCTGGCACGTTCGAGGCCCTAGGTTCAACCCTCAACTCACACATGCGTGCGCACACGTGCACACAGGGTGCACTCTACACTGGTAAGTGTGTCGTGTAGGATAACGAGGCAAACTACGAGGCCACTGCGCACGGGGAAGGCGGCAGGAGGGAGGCTGATGGGGAGCACCTGAACACCTGGCGCTAGCGCGTACTCCCTTTAAAGTTACAACATTGGAAAGAGAAGGAAGATTTCAATGGGGATGCCAGCTCCTCTCAGGAGGCTGAGGCAGGAGGACTGCTGTGAGTCTGAGGCCAGGCCGAAGTAATAGTGAGATCCTATTACAAAAAACCAACCAACAAAAGAACCTATGCCCCAAAAACCACGCACAAGGAATCCCTGAAGGCTGGCGTGGGCACTGACACAGACGCTACTGAGAGTCCCTGCTCTGTGGACTCTGGGGCAGGAGCTATCAGCCCATTTAGATGAGTCTAACTCACGGGCCCGTGTGGCCTGACGTCGGTGACTAAGCCAGCAGCGGCACAAGCAGAGGGAAACTGGAGGACACCTAAGGGGCCAAAGAGGCCGCCCAGACGCTGCTGCCGACTTCGAGCACCTGCGGAGCGGCTGCGAAGTAAGGAGAACAGCCACAAGGCAGCGCTCAAGTGCCTGGTACGCAGAACACACGGGGGCCACTCCAGCTCCGCAAGACACGCAAACTACCCGGATCGAAAGGAGCCAGGACTTCAGAGCAGGCTTTGTCTTAGGAAAGTACACGAGTGGCCAGAACCCAGACAAAGGCGTCCAGTTGCACTTCGCACCAGGGACATGCAAATCAAAGCCACCAGGACGGCTGGCCAAGATGCAACGAATCCGTTAGCCAGAAATGGCGCAGGCAGGGAGAGGCGTGAGGCCTTGTCCAGGCCTTGGGGGGTGGGGAGCAGCGCAGGCCTGCACACGCAGTTCCCATGCCTAGACATGGAGCCTAGACCCGGAACGAGGTGTGTACGCACGCACACACGAGCACACACACACACACACACACACCCCTGTGTGTCAGGGAAGCGTCAGTCACACTGGCCTGGCCCGGCCCTGGCTGGGAACGACCCAACGCTCACCCACAGGTGGAAGGATAAACAAATGGTGGGGCCTCTGTGGGGTGGAACAGCATTTAGTCTCGGACGGAACAAAGAACTCAGACTTCCCACACAGCGCAGGGACCTCAGAACCTCTAGTCAGCAGCTCGTCTCACGCGCCCCACCCCGCCGCGGTGGTCAGTACTCCCGTCCAGTCTCCATGGGAAGCGGGAAGGTCCACGGACAGGGCTGTGCCACTGCGCGGCCTCCCCGGCCAGGCGCGGCCCTGCACCCGGCCCCCGCGGCACACACCTGGTCGTCGGCGATGGCTTTGGCGAAGCGCGCGCAGTCTAGCTGCAGGTAAATGTCCGTCAGCTGGTCCAACAGCTTCTTTGGCTCAAAGCCGTACTTCTCGGGGTTTTCTACTTTCAGGTCACGGCACTTGGGGCCGCAGAGCTGCTGAAGGTTGAAGTTCAGCATCGCAGCCAGGCGGGGGCCGAGTTCCTAGGAGACCACAGGGAAACAGCGCGTGTTGCTGACGAGACTAGTGAGGCGGACTGGGAGCCTCCACTGCGGGGGCGGACGAGAATTGGCTGCTTTAATCTTCAAAAAATCCCGCCAGCATAAGCTGAAGATGGCTAGCATCATATTCCAACTTTCCTTTACTCCGTTTTGAAGCTGAATACTCTAGTACTTACCGGAAGGCTGACAGCATACTTACAAACACCACAAAAGGCTGTTCTTGACATTTATGTTTTGTATTTTATTTTATTTTATGTTTTTGGTCTTTTGAGACAGGGTCTCACTATGTACTACAGTTCTATGTGGTCCAGGCTGGTGTTAAACTCACAGTAATCTTCCTGCCTCAGCCTCCTGAGTGCTGAGATTATAGGTGTGTGCTACCATACCTGGCCTAAATTTATGTTTTAATCATATAAGTATTACTCCAAATTTATTGAACAACAGTGTGATGGCTTATGTCTCGATGTTCTCCAAAGCCTCATGCGGTCATAGGTGGGTATTTTTTTCAGAGGTGGCTGGATGTAGAGTGCGTGATGCAGGAATTGATTCACGATGCAATGCTAGGCTCAAGGGCACCAGGAATAAGGGTGTGAGTGCTGCCTGTGCTAAGCAGCCTGGATAAGATATGAGGGACAGAAAGCGCTGTGGTCGTCCTTTGCCTGCTGGTTAGCTACTTTCTGCCTGCCATGAACTGTTTCTCCTCTCCCAAGCCACCCTGCCTTGGAGCCAGTGTTATGGACTGAAACCTCTACAAACTGTGAGCTAAATAAATCTTTCCTCCTTCAACAGCGGATGTTGGGTATTTTATCTCAGTAATGAGGAAAGTGACTAAGACAAACAGATAAAAGAGGGAAAATTATTCATACATCCATCATCATTTGAGTCACAAAAGTTCTGGATTATTGCTGGGCATGGTGGTGCATGCCTGTAATCCCAGCACTCTGTAGGCTGAGGCAGGAGGACTGCTATGTGTTCAAGGCCAGCCATAGTGAGACCCTGTCTCAAAAAACCAAACCACAACAACAACAAAGTTTTGGACTCAGCTCTTTCGGGCATTGTTCCCTCACAGTTTAGGGTATGCCCTTGTTACTTATCAGAGAGAAAGAAACACAAAAGGAGACAAAATTTATGTCTTGAATAGTTGTAAATCTAGCCAGTGAGACAAAGTAAACGTAAATGAAACCCTTAGAAAACAATGGTATTACTATGCAATAACCCACAAGATGACACAGTGTCCACCAGAGTTGGCCACGCCCCCCTGTAAGCAGAGGAAGATCTGGACTACATTAGAGAATATTAAATGTTGACCATAAAAAGGAGTCCAAACACTGCCCTTTGAGTACTTAGGTTTCCATGAAATATAATGATTGCATCTACACAGATTCAAACTACACTCGGCTTCCCAGAATCTGTGTGTGCACAGATCCACTGCTGGGAAGCTGAAAATAAGGGCACGATGAGGATACAGTAGAGTTGGTAATTTTTCTTTGAAACAGGAGAGTTTTGGTGTTTATTTTTTGAGATAAGGACTCACTATGTAGTCCAGGCTGGCCATGAACTTACTGTGAAGCCCAGGCTGGCTTGAATTCACAGCAATTCTCCTGCCTCAGCCTCTAGAGTGGTGGGATTACAGGTGTGTGCAACCACCCCTTGGTTAGAGCTTTTGATTTTTCGGTCAGGGTCTTGCTATATAACCCAAGGTGGCTTTGAATTTGCCATGTAGCCCAGGCTGTCCTCAAACTTGGGATCCTCCTGCCTCAGCCTCCAGAATGCTGATATTACAGGTGCGGCAACCTTTGGCTTCCTGAGTGTTAACACAGCTCTCTAAGAGAACCAAAGATTTAACATGTTAGCAAACATCCTACTTAATATACTCCAATATATGTTATCTTATACTTTCCCTATAAATAAAACACAGGAATCAATAATGATATAAATAAGTCCCAACTCCAATATCAAGAAATCCAATGTACTGTGTGCTGTCTAAGCAGAAAGTGAACAAAGTCATCCTGGAAGTGACTATTTGTAGACTATGTGGTGGCATCAGACACCTATCAGCAGAGCACTGCAGTATCAATTAGCGTTAGTGGGAACAAAATCAGTAACAACATTGCACTTTTCGCTGTGATATTGGTATTTCTAGAATTGCAGAACTGCGTTGAGGCACACATAGTACCACACCTGTAATCCCAGCACTAGGGAGGCTGAGACAGGGGGGCCGCTGTGAGTTCTAAGCCAGCCTGGGCTACGTAGTGAGACAATGTATAACCAAACCGAACCAAAAAACCAAACACACACACACACACACACACACACACAAACCCGAACCACAACTGTGCCAAATTAGAAGTGCCGGGGCTGGAGGGGGACCCCTGCAGTTTCCACTCACCGGTCTGAGGAACGGCTTCTGCACCTGCTTGGTGAGGATGTGGAACATGTCCACGGTTTCCGTCGCCAGGGCGAGGTACGAGCGGGAGACGCGCTCATCCTGAGCCAGCTGGGACTGCCGGGCCTGCTGCTGATCCTGGGAACAGAGGACAGGGGTCACGTGAGGCCTGGCGGCGGCCACAGAAGATGTCATGAAGCCAGCACACGGGGAGCGGGAGGACAGGCTGCCCCGCCAGCGTCCCGAGTGCGGTTTCTTCTGTCAGCCTCAGAGCTCTCCAGCCTGAGGTCAAGCGGCCTCGGTACCTTCGCTTCGGTGCTACGGATGGAACCAGGGCCTGGCCCCGAGCTCTGGCCCGGCCTGGGCTCGTTCTTTAAGCCTAAGTTTTCTCAGTGATAAATGACATCCATGTGGGATGAACAGTGACTCTAACGGGTCGCTCATCTCCCTTCCTCATGACTTTACGGACGCTCTCCATTGAGAACTCTGCCCCGCCCCTCCCCAAGCCCCGGCTGGCTGCGCGCCTGACTTCTGTCTTCCCTCAATGTCAGGCTGTCCCCCTCGCTCAGTCCTGCCACAGGTGGGAAACAGGAAGATGGGGAGTGTCCGATTCGGGAAAAATCGGGGCACGCTGAGGGCTTTGATTTTCATATCTGCCCGAGGCCTTTTCTTAGTAGGGGAGGGAAAACAGCTGGAATCACTGGCGCAGCCAATGCGCACCCCTGCTCCGCGGTCAGCAGGTGCCCGGCGGAGATTGTGCAGCTGGGCTGGGGGCGCCCAGGTGCCCTGGTTCTGCGTGAGCCCATTGGGGGGAGGGCTGTCCCCTGTGACCTCACTGTCCCTCGCCTGCAGGCCACGGGGGTGATGCTCTAGGCCTGGCTGCCTGCAGGGGGGAGCTCCGATTCCATGGTGACAGCACCGACTGCACAAGCAGCCCAGCGCAACGCACACAGCAGGTCCGCCAGGGAGGGGACACAACGAGCAGGCGGGCAGAGGGGAGGCTGGGGGGGCCTCTCTGACAGGCGACTGGTAAGGGGGCTTCTGGGGGATGGAGCCGGTCCGAAAAGAATGGGGACGTGGTTCCGCAGGCAAGGGGACAGCACGCCAAGGACCTCACATGTCCCGGGCGAGGCAGGGAGGCGGGTGGCTGGGAGGACGGAGACGAGGGCTGCCCGCGCTGCAGGGGCCATAGCTGAGTTTCCCAGGCGCAGGGGCAGCCCAGTGGGGCTCTGAACATGGGGTACCCGGGGCGGCAGGGGCGGGGGCTGCAGATGGTCTGGGGCTGCGGCTGCAGCAGCAAGGGCGAGACTTGGTGGGGCTGGGAGGGGCAGGACGCGAGATTACACATGACACCCTTTGCTTTTCTTTTCTTTTCTTGCAGTATCAGGGTGGAACCCAAGACATGCTAGGCAAGGGCTCCACCACGAAGCTACAGCCCAGCCCTCTATGCTAAGATGGAGCTTGAGGCCCTCACACAGGTGGGGGTAGGAGAATAAGGACATGCCACAGCGGGGAGCCTGAGCACCGGGCAACACTCTGAGGCCAGAGCTGGAGGACGACAGCAGGGGTTCATGGTACACGTTTCAGATCGCCCAGTGGCAAAGCAAGGCGGCTCTGCTGACAGAGGTCTGCAGCCAGGGCACACGAGCTGAAGAAATACTGTGGAGTCCTTACAATACAGGTAAATTTAGGGCCAGCGTGGTGGTACATGCCTGTAATCCCAGCACTCTGGGAAGCCGAGGCAAGAAGCCCAGCCTGGGCAATTTAGAAAGATCCCATCTCCAAAAAAAAGGGATACAGCCAGCTCATTGCGAAGGCCGTGCCTTTTATCCGCAGTAGCACAAAAACCAACAAACATAAATTTAAAGCCAGGGGATCGTTCTCAGCTGGTGGAGATTTTCAACCTGGGCCTTGGGTTATGCACGCTTCTGGCTGTGTGACTGAGGTAGGGGGGTTAAGCCCTGGTGTGAAAGGGGCAGGTACCGGACGCACTACCCATCCTGCAGGGGAGAGGACAGTCTTGTCCCCGGGGAGAGTTCACAATCAAATTCCACTTGGCTGAAAATTCCCGCCAGCACCTTAGGAACAAGGCCTGAGAAAGAGGAGCGGCCTGAGGGCTGAGCACAGGAGGCCGCCGGCTTCAGAGGCTGCAGACAAGGGCGGTAGCAGCTGGCCGGGGAGGAGGGAGGAAGAATGCTACCCGAAACAGCGCGGCCGGGACTCTCTGTGCCTTCCTGCATCCATTAAGACACAAATCGATGTCGTTTGATGTCTCATCCCAAATGCTATTAAGTGCTGACCTGGAGCCCAGCATCTAAGTGCCAGGCGGTCTTTGCTGAGCTCCCGAGAGGCAGGAAGTGGGTGCTGCAGAGGGAGGAGGCCGGTGAGGGAGGAGGAGGGCAGGGCGCACAGCCACCCCCGCCACCCTCCCACCCCCCGGGAGGATCTGCAAGGTTCTTGGTCACTAAATGGCAGGAGCCTAACCCCACGCACGACACAAATGTCTCCCAGCAAAGGAAACAGCTCCACACACCGGCGCCGACAGCCCCCTCCCTGTCCCTGCTCCTGGAGCTCCCGCAAGGCAAATGTTCTCTCTGGTTTCGGCATCAAGGAGGGGCCCGCGCTCAGGCCCAGGTCACCTCGGCCACCAGAGCCGTGGCGCTGCAACTATGTCTCCCCCGAGTCCGCGCCCGCCCCGTCAGTATCTACTGACTGCAGAGGAGAGGAGCCCGGCACGTCTCAGGGCTGCCCCGGGAGGCTGTGGCCCTGGGGAACCAGGGCAGCCTCAACCCTGGGAGCCTGGCGCTGTGGGAGGGCTCTGCGGCCCGGTGGCGGAACAGCTGAGGGTGTGCCTGGAAACGAATAGGAGGCAGTGTGTGCGGATGCCAGGGGTACCAGCACGATGCCAGGAAAGACTGCTGCACTGCCTCAGTGCAACCAGAGGGGCTCAAGGAGCGTGTGGCATGGGCGGAGGGAACACCCAGCTCTCCGGACCTGGGCAGGTGCATGGTTTAAATTCATGGTGTGGAGCAAGATGTAAAATCCCAATGAAAGCTGCAGAGGTACCTACAATGAAAACCTTCCCTAAACGTGCTGCAAGAGCCTACACTTAAGATACTCTTTCTTAAAAGTTTTACTTTTTGAGACACAGTCTCACTATGTAATTCAGGCTGGCCTTGAACACACTACATAGTCCAGATTGGCCTTGAACTCATGGTGATCCTCCTGCCTCAGCCTCCCTAGTGCTGGTATTACAGGCATGTGCCACCACGCCTGGCTATCATACTTTTTGACTCCACAACATTAGCACGTTCACTGTGCCCTCGCTGTGAGGGTGCCAGCAGGGTAAGAACCCCTTTGCAAGGCAGTTCTGACTCAGAACCATTTTGGCGCCGAAGCTGTCAAGGGCCCAGCAGTGCCAAGGAGCCTCTACGGCTGCCAGTGCATCAGGGAGGGGATGTACTGTGACCAGCACAGCGTGAGACCTGCATGGAAACCAGGCCTCTCATCTGTTAATAACTGAACACAAAATCCAACTTTCATGCAAAGAGAAAGCCTGCCTGAGCGATTCAGAGTTGCCCAGGGAAGAATACAGAAGCGAATCTGAGTCCCATCTAGCAAACAGATGTCTGGAGATTTATTTCCAAGTTACTTTCACAAATTTCAATACATGTGGATAATAAAAGCCCTTTCTCAGGAGGCTGAGGCAGGAGGATCACTGCATGTTCAAGGCCAGCCTGGGCTACAGAGTGAGCTGAAGGCCAGCCTGAACTGCATGGTGAGACCCTATCTCAAAAAAACTAAAAAAGAAAAAAAAAAGCCCTTTAAAATTAAAAAGCCAGAGGGCTGAGGATATAGCTCAGCAGCACAAGTGCCTGCCTACCAAGCGCAAGGTCCTGAGTTTGATCCCCGGTACCAAAAAAATAAAAAAATAAAAAAATAAAAAAAAGCCAGAGAGGGTTTTCAGGATGCATTTTGAAAAGCTTCTCAACTCATCGCTTCAGATAAAGGGCTCTAAGCTCTGACTCCTGGCCAGGAGGTAGCTCCACTAGGCCAGCATGCACAGGGCCGTGGGTTCCGGCCCTGACATCAGAAGAACAGTTTCTCCTACTCCAAACCTGGGACTTCATTTCACAGAGGCCCCGGGTAGGACCCCAGGGCCGCCCTCTGTCCCTGCAGGGCTGCGTGGACCCCCAGCCCATCCTTACCCGCGGCAGCTGGTCCCACTGTTCTTTGTTCTTCATCTCTTCCTGCACCTCGTGGATCCGCTTCAGCGACTCCAGGCTTTCATCGAGCAAGAACGTCGTGTCATTGATCAACATGTTTATGTAGCGAACGAACTGCTTCCCAGAACTGCAAAGGCAAGAGACAGCGCTGGTCTCAGGGCCAGCAGGTCCCAGGGAAAGCGAGCCTTCCCGGGTGCTGCCACAACCCCCAGCGCCGCCCAGCTGGCAGATCCTCGGCCCCGCAGAGGCCAGGGGCTCCTAGCAGTGTGCGGGAGCCCCACGTGGCTCACAACAAGCAACTGCAGAACACTCCAGAGTCTGTGGGTCTGTGAGCCGATTCCTGTAGCAGCTTGAATTGGCCACGGGGCCACATTCACACCATGGACAGTTTTCCCTCCAGGGAGCAGGTTTCCCAGCACAGCCCTGGCTCGCTCCCTCAGTGTTTCGAAGTAGAGATGCTCTTCCGGGTTGGAAAGGAAATACGCCTACACGCCCCATGAAACAAGGAAAGCACAAGCAATGCCCCATACTAGCGGACAAGAGAAGTACTGAAGTCACTCCTCAGCACAAAGCCAGCTCTGGGGGAAAACTGGAATCTTTTTTTTTTTGGCTTTTTGGCTTTTCTCTGGTACCGGGAACTGAACTCACGACCTTGCGCTTGCCAGGCAGGCGCTTTTGCCGCTGAGCTAAATCCCCAGCCCCTTGGAACCTTTAATATTGAGGGAGGAGGACAGGAACTCATGTTGCAGAGTTGAGGTTCCCGTCTGAGCATTCTGCAGCCTGGTACAATGAAGGGACTTGGCGAACTGCAACCCCTTGGGCTGCCTGGTGGACTTTGATGCTGTCAGACTGGCGGGAGAAAGAGAAGCTCTGCTTCCGGACGTACGACCATGGAATCGGGGAAGGAAGCCCAGGCCAGGCAAAGAGGCCTTGTGAACCAGGGCGAGAGGCCCGGGCCCAGGACACCAGGAGTCCAGGGCACACATCTCCACGTGGCACCATTCAGCTCAGGCCCTGGTTCTGCTTGCTCTTCACACTCACGCTTGGCTATTGGTGGACTGAATTCTGGTCCTAAGAGAACGTCACAGAAATGGAAATGATCTTGGTCTACGCTCCAGGAAGCCAGCTAGCAAATGGGTACTCCACCAGTGACACCGATAGGACTGACTGGTAACCAAGGTAATGCATGGTCTCAAGATTTGGTCAAAAACCTAACAGGATACAGAAGATCCAAGTCAACGGGGTAAAATTTCTTCTGAAGAATAATTCAGGAGTTCAATATTCTCTCCATCTTTCCTTCTGAGGCACTGACAGGTGGATACTGTGGATGGGAGCACCCCTGCCCAGGTCTGAAGAGTCACTGAAATCTCAGCCAGGCTTATGGGAAGTCCTTGACCAAAGGTGAGATGCTGGCCACACACAGCGGTAGCCCAGCTGGCCCTATCCTAGCTGCTTCTCCCCCCAGCTTCTGCCTCCAAGTTTAATTCTCCAGAGCACTAGAAAGTCTCATTTCAGCCCTTCTGACAACCCTTAATAGTATCTTCAGAAAAATCACTGCAAAACACTTCCCATCCATGTATTTTCAGAACCTGTACGTAACCCCCGTTCAAAGTCTTTGGACAAACCTAGAGCTCAGCCGTATGGGGCAAGAGCAGACATATTGGTAACTCTGCCACAATCTGGCAATACCTTGTGGTAAACTTGCAGGAGGCCGAGACCACGGAGAGAGCAAACAGGAACCCAGCAGGGAAGGTCTGTAAGCCACATCCTACCTGTGGTTTGCAAGACGGCAAGCTGGGACAGACAGGAGGACCTGCTACTCACTTGAACTCCTCCATGAAGGTGCCGTGGTGAGCTATGTTCTGCCAAAGGCTTTTAAAGATGGTGCTGATGTGGTAGCGAATGGTGAACTTGTCATAGAACTCGCTGGTGGCTCCAGTATGCTCAACATCTACGGAAGAAAGACAAAGAGCCTGAGGGACAGGCAGCTATTACAGCACAGGGACACGGAGGGCATACGTGTCTGCAATACCAGATATCCAGTAAAATTTCACCTCTATCTTGTGGAGAGAGGAGGCAGGAGAGACATTATGAGCCGGTTTTAAAGACTCTAAGTTTCAGGGAAAGGTCTGGCAACGACCCAACAGCAGAAGGAAGAGGCTGGGAAGACGCTGGCATCACGAGGACAGCATCAACTCGCTGTGACCGGGAGCTCACCTCCCCATCGGGCGCGAGCACGCCGGACGCCCAGCCCCGTGCAGGGAGGAAGCTGCGGGGGTTTTACGAAGCATAAGGACCTAGTAAGGATGTCTAGCGCTCTCGAGACTTTTGCGTATCACGCATACTTTCACGATGTCCTGAAGCTCGGATGAGCACCGTGAATCCCCGTGTACCTATAGCTCATTTATTAGTCATCGACATCCCTGTACTTATTAAAATGGAACAAATTCAAATTTGGTTATGCAAATGGAAAACAGCTAAAGCATGTGAAATTCCACAGTTCATGATAAACAAATATATATTCGTTTCTATATTTTTACATATTATAGGACCGTACAGAGGTGGGCACTTGGGGAGACAGGCACACTGCCATGGGGTGGGAACGAATGCCAACACTCTCTGCAAGGCCAACTTCACAAGATGTAGGAAGGCCATCGACATGCCTGTCCCTGTCACCTGCCGATTCTACTCAAGAAAATGCAAGCAAGCACGTTCTGAGACCGATTCTCATGGATACTCAATGCAGTACTATTTTTCAACTGTATGTGGAGGTGCACATCTATCATTCCAGCACTTGGGAGATTGAGGCAGGAGGATCACTATGAGTTCAAGGCCAGCCTGCACTACATAATAAGACCCTGTCTCAAAAAACAACAGAAAAAATCAGATTGTTAATAGCTGTCCTGCTAAGATCCTAATATGCTGGTGTGCACTGAGTCAACCCATTTTTTTTTTTTTGGTCTTTGAGACAGGGTCTCACTATGCAGTTCAGGCTGGCTTTGAACTCACTCTGTGGCCCAGGTTGGCCTTGAACTCACTCTGTAGCCCAGGCTGGCCTCAAACTTGATGTGACCCTCCTGCCTCAGCCTCCCAAGTGCCGGGACTATAGGTGTGCGCCACCATGCCCGGCTGAGTTAGCCCTTCTTTGGTGAACTAAATGCCATTTTATTGGGTAGGAGTGTGGAGAGGGGATATAGGAGCATGCCAGAGACGGTACAAGGGGCTGGCATGGCGCACCCACCATCTTCAACGGTCTTTATCTGGGCTGTTTCTGAGTACAGCAAAAGCTATAACAACTAGTAACTTATTGGCTTATATCAATGTTTATGCATTTCTCCCAACATTTTTTAAAACTCCCTCCTAAAATTTGCTCTAAATTACACCGACCCAAGTTCTAACCTCCACGCCCAGTTCCACAAGTCCTTAAGTGACCTCTGACCCCTGCTGACCTCACCCCCTGCAATTTTTTCCTGCCGAACCCCGCTGTGCAGGCCTTGAGGCCCTTACACTCGCTGTCCAGTCTGTCTGCCACATGGTGGCTGAGGCCCCTCGCCCACAGCTGTCCCCCAGTGCAGCCTATGTCTCCCCACCGGCCTGTGTGACCAGGGCGGAGGAGGGACATCAACATCTGCTCAACCTGCGTGGAGCCCACTCCATGGCTGATCACGCCACTCAGATCAGTGCCGGGACAGGCAGGCGCTGGACACAAACTGCTTTATAGCGCCCTCCTAGTCCTCAGAGCTCCTCCACATCTATCACAGTACTGTGTCACAAGGTAGAGTACTCTTATTTTGAAACTTGATTTTATTTTTGCATTAGCAATAGCCATGACTCTGGTAAACCCCATTGGCTAAGATTCTGACACTGTGCAAAGCTGTGATTTTATTTTTGAAACAAAAATTGGAGGCTCAGTATTTCCTAAGCCAAACACTACTCCTGGCCAAGAGGAGATGTGCACACATCGATCTTGTTCAGGGGACTCAATTCGGGCCTGGCAGCCACACGTTGAGGCCGGCTCCTGCTCGGCAGGTCTTCACGGGGCGGCTGGGCTCTCGGGGGACTGTGTGGGAGCCCCTACCCTGTGGGGGCCCCTGGGGGGCCCTGGTCACTGCTTAGCAGTGCGGGCACACACACCTGTGCTGAGTGCAACTGCTGCCCTGCTGCACCTGCTCGCTCTTGCCCTCCGGCGAGCTCCTCGCCCTTTCTGAGCTCCAGCTTCCTCATGGGGAAGGGAGGTATTTATAGAGCCTGTCTTTGGGCGCGTGGGGATTAGCTGGAGGGATTGGTCAGTATTTGATGAGTGCGGCTATTATTAGGAAGGTCGTCATCTGTCCCTGACCACAAAGGGGGCGCAGTCCAGGCCAGAGGGCACATGGCCGTGGCATGGTGGGGGGACAGAGAACAGAGAACAATACCACCCACCATCCCTGGAACGTGGTGGCAGGCGCTACCAGGTGCACGAACATAGGTCCTGTGACCCGGGGGCCACGGGGACAGGCCCAGGGCACTGGGCACTAAATCAATTCTTTTTGGTTTGTTTTTACTATAAAAATACTGCTTCCTTACGTGTCTTTTCTTTTCTTTTTGGTAATACTATAGCTTGAAGCCAGGGCCTTTGCACTGAGCTATGTCCCACACTTTTCCATTTTTTTACTTTGAGGCTGGGTTTCACTGAGTTGCCCAGGCTGGGTTTAAACTTACGATCTTCCTGCCTCAGCCTCCCGAGTGCTGAGATTACATACAGGTGGCACCACCACAGCGTGGCATTCTTTTTACTTTTTGTTACTTAACCACTTCATAGAAATACCGTGTTATTTTTCATGGCTCATATAGACTCACTGTATGGATAAACTATAACTTATTTAACTTATCCACAACAGGCAGAAATATAGGTTGTTTCTTTAATAGTTTCCCTACACTGTACTCAAAATAATGCTGTAGTGAATACTGTCATAGGCGCATATGCACATGCACTTATAAGTATTTCCATAGACAAAAGAGTGGAAACTAAATTTACAAGTGAGAGGGCAGGCTGGCTGCTCAGCAGTGGGCTCTCAGCGCCAGGCCCACTCCTCACGCTTGGCCGGGGAGTCGGGCTGGGACTGTGCTGTGCCTCCTATGAGGGTCACCAACAGGGGGTGCTGCGGAGCTGTCAGGCAGATGGGGACTCGGCTGACAGTGGGGCTCCCTCCCGGCCACAGGCGGCAGCGCCAGCTCCCTGTCTTGCACCCCAGCACTAGCAATCTTGCCTGGCTCCAGAGACCCTGTACCAGCTGGCCCAGGTCCTCCCTCGCAGCTCTGAGCTGGCTTCCGCCCGGACCTCCCTGGTGCAAGTGCGTTCTGATCACCCCAAAGCTTCCCTGGGTTCCTGGCCCAGGGAGACGCTGGCTGCTACTGTCACCTGGACTCTCTGTCACCCCAATGAGCCTTTCTCCCCGAGCCTGTTCTCGACATCCACTGGACCGGTTCCACTGGACCGGTTCCTTGTGGTCAACTGTCTGTAAAACACCTGGAAAGTTTTCTGTTTTACTGACTGGGTCTTAACCTATACAAAGCACATAGCAAGTCAGTTTTCCTTCAGGACTAGGGATTGAACCAGGGCCTAGTGCCCGCACTACCACTGTGTTATACTCCAGCCCTTTCTTATATTTTTTACTCTGAGCCAGGGATCTCACTAAGTCACCGAGGTGCCCAAGCTGGGCTCAAACTTGCAATCCTCCTGCCTCAGCCTCCCAGAGTGCTGGGAACGCAGGCATGTGCGCCACAAGAAGTTTCCTGTTTTTTTTTTTTTTAAATAATTTTGAGACAGGGTGCTTCTAAGATGTCCAGGCTGGCCTTGAACTTGCCATTCTCTTGCCTCAGCTTCCCAAGTAGGCATGATTATAAGCATGTGCCATTGTGCCTGGTGAGGACATAAACATTTTTAAGTCTCTTGGTTCCCAAATTACATTTTTGTGAGTTTCATAGCGCTAATTCTGCACACTGGCTACAGGAAAGATTAAATAGCTTTTCTGCAGGTTTGTTTATTTCTCTGCAAATCTGTCATGGCTGGGTATTTCCAGCTTTGATAGGTGCAAAGTGAGATCTTGCCATTTTAAAGGTACTGCTTCAATAGCTCCCAAGCCTGCTATGTGTGAGGTACCGTTTCGGTTCGACCCAGAAAGGGATCAGCACCGCTAGTATGTGGAGGACCTGCACTCGCCCTCACGGAGCTGAGATGTGAAAGAGGAGGACTGGAGCCTGGGAAGGGGCTCTGACCTCCTGCTGTAGAACAGATGTCAACAGAACAACTGAGGGTGTGCAACATAAGAGGACAGGCTGAGGGAGGAGAGCAGCTTCTCAGAGGCCACGAAATAACAGTGACAAAGGGAAACAGAGTAACAGAAGCCTGGAGGTGGAAGCAACAGCAACATGAGCCCCAACAAGCAGGAGGGTAGAAACCAGTGGCAGCGTCACACCAGCCGCGGCACGACAGCAAGGGGCTGAGCTCCTGGTGCCCACATGTCCTGCGGGCAGAGCAGGGCGAGGAGATGCTAGTGAATGCCAGGCGCGTGCTGGGTGCCCAAAAGTGCGAGGCACACGCTGGGCAGAAGACAAGATGGCCCGGGTGCCCTTGCTTTCCTAGCACACCAGCGGGTGGAGGCTGTTCCACCTGTGCAGTCCTGCATCCTGCAGAAGCCACACGGAGAGCGCTCACAGGCGATGCATGAGCCGAACGGAAAATGAAAATCTGGAAAGTGGTTTGGCCAGAAGAGGAGGCTGTGTGTGCAGAGTCCCTCACATGCTCTCTGTCATCTGCAACAGGGAGCAAAAAAATAAATACATCAAATCAGTGAATGAGCAGACACCCAGATTCTGCTGGCTTTGGTGGGGTCCAAGAATAAGCAGGGGATTTTCTTTACTTGCTTTTCTGAAGCAGGGTGCCACTATGTAGACCAGGCTGGTCTCTAACTTGTAGCAACCCTCCTGCCTCAGCCTCCCAAAGCCTGGTATTACAGTTGTGTGCCACCACACCTGGTCAAGAATAAGCATTTTTTAACAAGCTCCCTCTTTTACCTGCACTGTGGAAACTTGGGAGTTATGAGACAGTTACAAAAGTAAGGCTGTAAGTTCAAAGTGAAAACAAACCAGTTAATTCACTCAGATAAAAACAACCACTTGAAGCTGGGCATGGTAGTGCACGCCTGTAATCCCAGCACTCAGGAGGCTGAGGCAGGAAGATCGTTGTGAGTTTGTAGCCTGGGCTACAAAGTGAGCTCAAGGCCGGCCTGAACTGCATAGCGAGATCCTGTCTCAAAAAGACCAAAAACAAACAAAAAAACAAAAAACCACCCACTTGGGGTACAGATAGCAAAGTGAGGCTGCTACATCACCAGAGATCAGCACATAGGATAGCCAACAAAATATTTCAGAGGCTCAAGGGAAAAATGACCTACAGCACTCTGGAGGGGACATCAGGCTACGAGGTAGCAGGTTAGTGGTGCCTCCCACTGGCTTCACCTGCCTAAATATGGGACGAGCCACATGGCACGCCCAGGAACCCACCTGTGTAGAACTTCATCAGGGACGGTACCAGCAATTTGGTGGACAGAGGGTGGTTCTCGATCATCTCGAAAAACTTCTGGGTGCGCGGCTGAACGGCGGGGTTGGTCATGAACATGACTTCTACGAGCTTGGCCACGAGGTACGGGTTCCGGATGTAGCTCTGGTTGCACAGCATCACGACGAGGAACATCACGATATCCTGAGTACAGGGCTCATAGAGCACCTGGGGCGAGTATCTGCGCGGGCGAGAGGGGCCAGGGAGAAAGCTCAGGAACCCACGCGCCTGGAGGCGGGGTCATGGCGGGAGAGGCCGGGCTGAGCAGCGCAGGAGTGGAGGTGCTCAAGTCCCCTCCCTGTGCTCGGTTACTCTGCACACTGGGACCCGGCAGGTTTTATTTTACTTTACTTATTTATTTTTGGTTTTATGAGACAGGGTCTTGCTATGAAGTCCAGGTTGGCCCTGAACTTATGCTGTAGCCTAGGCTGGCCTCAAACTAGCAGTGATCTTCCTGCCCCAGCTTCCTAAAAGCTGGGGTTATAGGCGTGTGCCACCACACCCATCATAAAGAGGCAAACTTAAAACCAAATATGTTTATTGACTGTACCACATCAACTTACTATGTTTTAAGGAAGAAAAAGCTATGATTAAATCAGAAAAAAATTCACAAAAGATCACCACCACCAAAAGTCTAAAAAAAGTTTTTAATGAAGTTGCTTTAAGTTTTTTAAAAGTTTGTTTTAATTTAAAAAAATAAATGAGCTGGGTGTGGTGGTGCACATCTGTAATCTCAGCACTCGGGAGGCTGAGGCACGAGGATCTCCAGGAGTTTGAGGCCAGCCTGGGCTACAAAGTGAGGTCGAACCATAGTAAAACTTTGTCTCAAAAAGACAAAAAAAGAAAGAACAAACGAACGAACGAACGAAAGAAAGAAAGAAAGGAAGGAAGGAAGAAAGAAACTTTTCACATCTGTGCTGTTACAGTGTTTGGGAAAACGTTTTCAAACATGACTTATGTGGCTTCAATTCCAATGCTGGTTTTCATTCAATAGATAAATCAGGATTTCCCGTCACCCTTTGTGTCTTCTCAACATTCCAAACACACATTCGCTGCTGATTTGGGCTCATGCTGGGGCAGCTTTTATGACCACAATATAGTTCATTTAACTTCGGCTCTTATTTAAAAATCATATTAACTTTGTATTTTCCTGTTGTTTCTTAGAAAATGTTCATAACTAGTATTTTGTAGCCATGAACTTACACCACTTTTACTTTCGAAAACAGACTTCACATACCATTTTCTTCCTCACTTCCCCATTTTAGTATGACTACAGTGATGCTATCACAGTGACAAGGAATCACGTTTTGAATTCTTCTAGCATAGCCTGTGTATGTATGTACATATTTATTTGAGACAGGGTCTTTGCTATGTAGTTCAGGTTGGGCTGGACTCACTAGGTAGCCCAGGCTGGCCTTGAACTCATGGTGATTCTCCTGCCTCAGCCTCCCAAGTGCTGGGATTATAGGCACCATGCCTGGTGACTTGGGGTGTTCACAAACCATGTGCTCCTTCTCTTTCTCAGAACACATGCTCAACTGCTAGAAATTCAACTCGACCTTCACAGAACATGCCAGGATCTACACGTGAATCCTGCTCTGTCCTGAGGTACTTACTGATGGATGGGGCCTGGGGCCATGGGCAGATTTTCTTTTCCAGTGTCTGGGCAGCATTCGGTTACAAACAATGATATAAAGTGCAGCTTTGCAATACAGTGCCTCACAGTATGTACACTTGATGTACAAAAGTATATTAAAGTATATCTCAGGGCCAGGCATGGTGACGCACGCCTGTAATCCCAGAACTTGGTTTGTTTTGTTTTGTTTTTGTTTTTCTTCCAGTACCAGGAATCGAATTCATGACCTTGCACTTGCCAGGCAGGTGCTTTGCCGCTGAGCTAAATCCCCAGCCCCAATCCCAGAACTTGGGAGGCTGAGGCAGGAGGATTACTGCAAGTTCCAGACCAGCCTGGGCTAAAAAGTGAGCTCAAGGCCAGCCCAAAGTGCAAAGTGAGACACTGTCTCAAAAATACACACACACAAAAGTATATGTCAGAGGTACTTACTGTACAATAAAAAATAAAAATTCAGCAACATCTTCTACATAAAACTCCGGCAATGCTGCAAATACCTTGGGGACATCTGAACTTAAAGGCAGTGTTACGCTGTCAAAGAGAAAGAAAAGCACGATTTACAAAAGGAAATCACGGCATATCAAACTGCAAGGCATTATCATGCTGCCACTAGGTTAAAAAAACACCACTCATGCTATCATACAACTATATAAAAAGGAACCACAACCAGAAATGTGCTAGGGTGTGTGAAATGCTTTATTTCATCTTGATTTCTTATTAAAATTAATGCAATAAATAAAGTGGGGAGGAAATTCAAGATTAGACTTGGTCATTTTGTGTGCCTCACACTATCTGGGCCAACACACGTATTTTTCATTCCTGTGCAGGGTTTGGGCTGATCTCATCAATACTGGTAACCTACAGACTTCTTTTGTTGTTGTTTCAGAGGCAGGGTTTTGCTGCACAGGTCAGGCTAACCTCAAACTCGAGGCAATCCTCCTGCGTCAGCCTACCAAGTACTGGGATCACAGGTGTGGACCACCACACCCCATCCATCAACTTCCTAATAACCAGAACATAAATGAAACGGAACTAGCTGCCTGGAGATGTCCCGCTGACGACAAAATGACTGAGCGTCCTTAGCTCGCTCAAAATCTGCTGGGCACCCTGCTGGACCCGGGGCCTCAGAGGGCCTCATATCCTGCTGTCTCCAGCGCTCAGCTTCCCATTTACAGACTTCCCTTTTCATCAAAGATTTTATAAGACATTTTTTAAAATGTTGAAGCTTAAAAAAACAGGGCATTGGCATTTTCCTGTGACGGTAACTAATCAAGAGGGAAGCAGATCGATACACTCATTTCTTAGGCTCTACCAACACAATCCGGAAAGTGAGGCCTCCCGAGGAAGTTAGGGTTTCAGCTTTAGTCACTGACTCCGAAGAACGACCACGACAACACGGCCCAGACAATAGAGACGCGGCAAAGAGGAAAGAGCACACTCACTCGGGATATGCAGGGTCCAGGATGCGGAGCAGCAGCTGAATGAGAAGGCCATAAAAATTCAGACATCTTCTCAGGAAGCTCTCGTCAAGTAAGCCAGCGTCAGCACAGGCCTTGCACCGTACCAGTTTCTGTGGAAGTAGGTGTGCCCCCACCCATAGATTAGTCAGGAGCTGAGGCCCCGCAGCGTGCCTGGGCAGGGAAGGGGGCCAGGACATGGGAAGTCTAGCGCTAGAGCTTCTAGAACCTTCTCTCTAACTGGCTACAGGATGCTGGCTGTGTCAAGATCTCCCTCTCTTCCCTGAGAAAAACAAAAGGTACGCCATGCAAACCACTGAGCACGAAGTCTAGCACACAGTTAGTGCTCAAAGGTTAGTCGTCACAGTCACATTTCAACAACTTGGTTGGGGATAGGGTTGCCAGGGAGGCCCTTTGGGTGTCAGGACGGTTAGTGGAAAAAAAGCCAGACAAACCCGCATCTGAATTCTAGTACCGGCACTAGAGGCGCCCTCAGACAGACGGAAGGCCTGTCCGCCAAGGATGCTTCGTACCTCAGAGGGCTGCCCGAAAATGAAACACACATGCACGCACACGTGGACACAGAAATGTGACAGACACCCCGGAACACATCTGTGCAACGCGTCGGGGGCTCTGGGCCCCTAGTTTATTTTGTACTTTCAAGTGTCTATTAGTAAATGCAAAACCCAAATCCTAACCTGTACCAGAAATGAGACAGGTGGTTTCCCTGCCCATCCCACTAGTCAATAGAACGCATGAGCAGCTAACCCTCGGCACTGTCATTTAACACACATATGTGAGAAGCGGGCAGGGCTCTTGTACTGAGGTAGGCCAAGGGTGGAGACATGAACTCGAGAGTGAGAAAGCCCAGCAAGAGCTCACGCTGTCACTGCGTCAGCATGAGCAGACTCTGGGCTGAGATTTTAAATGTATTACACATAGATGCACTCAAGGTATCAACAAGTTTTAACATGTCCTGTTTTATCTTGAGGGAAAGGGAGGATGAAGAAAAGAATCAAGACACTAAACTGCTCACTCCAGGCACATATTCCGGAAGAAAAATGAGTGCTCTGAGGCCAGTCCGAAATGATTCCAATTAGCTGTACAAACCTTAAGCTGCGTTTTACAGCGCTTCAGCATCTCGCGGTGTCTGGTTGCCAGCGGGGAGTCTTTCCACTGGCTTTCATTATTTTTCAAATCTTCCACAGTTCTGAAATCAAAGACTGACGGTTAAATGACAGGAAACACCCTGCTCCATCTTGCCTATTCATTCGGCCATCTCACTGACGCTCAGATGTAACTGTTTTCACATGGAACTATCTTCAAGATCAAAGGACATCTTACAACCAAAGCCAAGTTTATGATTCAGTGGATAGCATTTTTCTTTCTTACTGGTTCCTAAAATAACGATGTGTCTTAAAATTGTCACTGTTGGATTAGATGAAACATAACTGTCTTTTTTAGAAGTACACTGTTCCCTTATTTTCCTGGGAGAAGAAAAGGAAGTCTCATGAAAGTTCAGACTGCTGCGCCTACGCAGTTATCAAAGCAAAAGGCTATGGTATTAACGGCACGGCCTCTTGTCTTTACAATTGTTCTTTGCTGAGATTGTCTCCGTGGCTTGCTCTTTTGCTTGTTCCACGGATGTGATGAAATGTCACCTGTCACGAGGGAATGTCTTCCCCCGTCACCTGACGTGCTTCATGTTTTAAGGACGGGCTCATTAACACCGTTCAACCCCGTCTCTCGTGACTGTGTAGGGAATTAAGATTGCCGAGTGTCGGAACACCGCGCTCCGCAGCAGCCGTGCCACCTTTCTGCACGGCCTAGCTGCTGCGGGTGAGGCAGAGCGGTGAGATGGTTACATCGCTTTTCCGGGAGCACCGTGGCAGAGGCCCCGTTAGGCTCAGGCCTGAAGCAGCTTCACAGTAACCCCACGAGTCTGCTTTTCCAGGCTTTCTGGCGACTCAGCACCCCAACACTACCCTTTAATGATCACCCCCTTCTGATCAGCCCATGTATTGGGTTCTTCGGTCCCTGACACATGGATGTGGTAGATGGAATAATCGCCCTTTACAGAGGTCACATCTCAGTTACTGGATGGAACCTGGCGACTGACTTGAAGGGACTTTGGTACTACGATGAAGGGTATAAATGTTGATATGGGGAGACCATCCCAGGTTACTTGGGTGCCCAGTGTCATCACACAGCTCCTCCTGAAAGACAGAGAGAAGGCAAGGTGACAAAAGAAGCAGAGGTCAGAGGGAGGAGGAGGTTTGGAAATGTGAGCTGCTGGTTTTAACATGGTGTGAGGGGGCCACAAGCCAAGGAGAGCAGGCGAAGACACCTGTCCTCCCTGCAGCACCTCTGAGAGGGTTGCATCCATGATTTAGGACTTCTGAGCGTTACAACTGCAAGATGACAATGTGTGTTGTTTTAAGTCACTGAAGTTTTAAAATTTTTTCACTTATTTCTGTGGTAGGGATGGAACCCAGGGCCTTGCACATGCGAAGGAAACAAGTGCTCTACTGCCGAACCACACTCCACCCTCTAAGTCACTGAGGTGGCAGTGATTTGCTGCAGACCCACAGCACTCTAATACAATGACCTGCGGTACCTGACAACATGACAGGTAAGAGGCCCTAGAAAAACGAACCTCGGGAGCCGGGTCTATAACGAGGCTGGTTTGAAAGTGAAGATCCAGTTATTAGGAGATGGAATACTGGTAGTCCAGGGCTCTTCGTGGACTCCCCTGGCACAAACAGACTGAATGACCTGGGCATGTTGGCGTACGCCTGTAATCCCAGCACTCGGGAGGCTGAGGCAGGAGGATCACCACAAGTTTGAGGCAAGCCTGGGCTACCCAGTAATTCAAGGCCAGCCTAAATGACAGAGTGAGACCCTGCCTCAGAAAAAAAAAAGACAGACAGAGTGGCTGCATCTAACTATAGTGGAAAGCTTAGAACAAGAAAATCACAGGCTCGAGATTTCCAATTCTCCTACAAAAGTTGACAAACCAGGGAGTTTCTAAGGCTACTATAAAGAAGCAGAGTCAGAGCCTACAAATTCCAAATATGACACAGGCGGAATTCACAGCCTTCCTGGTCACCTAACTGAAAGTCGGCATGGAGGCCAGGTGCCGAGAGTTCAAGTGTCAGGGGCTGGGAAACACGATCACTCGAAGGGCCCCAGAACCTCAATCTCCCGAGCCCACCCTGCTGCTGAAATGATCTCAGCTGAGGCAGTCGCTGTACAGGGTGACACCAATCTCCCTTAGGGCGACCACAGCCCTCCACCACCCCCAGGATCACAGTCAGCCAGATCAAGGGCTGCCCTGAGGATGTGTTACAGAAGCAGACACTGGCAGGGAAAAAATACGGCCGGATTTGCTAGTACGTTATATTAGTCTTCTGTGGCTGCTGTAAAAAGGTACAAGAAACAACACAATTACTGTCTTAGTGCTCTCATGGGCGGAAGTCTAAATTAAAATGAAGCTAGACCTGGTGGTGGAGACCTATACTCCTAGCACTCTGGAAGGCTGAGACAGGAGGATCCAGGTTCAAGCATAACATGGGCAACTTAGTGAGACTATGTCTCAAAATTTAAAATAATAGTACCTGATAATTTGAAAAAGAGCTGGAGACACAGCTCAGTGTGAGGGCCCTGGATTCAATTCCCAGTGTCACAAATCTCAGGTCAGCACAGACGGATGCTTCTGGAGGCGATGGGGGTAGAAGATGCTCTTTACCTTTCCCAGCTGCCAGGTTCCCTGCACCCCTAAGCTTAGGACCCCAAAACACTCGGGCTCCTGCTTCCTTACAAAAAGCCCTGCGATGGCACTGGGGCCACCCAGATGATCTGGGATAACTGCCTCATCACAGCAACCGCACCTGGCCAGTCCCTTAACCACCTGTGGTGACACTGTCACAGGATCCAGGGACTGCAGTCGAGCATCACTGGCTGCTGTGTTCTGTGGGCATCTGTGTCTGGTTCCAATGGGGACAGATTCTAGGAGGCTTCTCTGGGAGGGGAAGTGCTACCACACTTCTCTGTGGCGCTCCACGGACTGCCGGACCCCGCCGGCACGAGGCTCTGGAAGGGGTTCTGTGTGCCCAGCGAGCCCCGTGAAAGCTGGGCCTGCCGTCAGCTGGGCTGAAAGGAGCCGAGTTACGCCTTCATAGGACACACAGGGCAGAACCGAAAACTCCAGGAGCTTAGAAGTGAGTGCAGACTTAAACCTGCTCCCCAGTACGCGCAGAACACACCGGGCCTGTCCTGGGTGACGCTCGTGGCATCAGTGCTGACAGACACATGCTGTGGGGCACACATTGTCTCTGAAAAGCTCAGCAACGCTGGCCCTTCTGTGCAGGGAGTGCAGGTGGCAGATGGTGACCCTGGAATGGGCTGGCATGGGGGAGGGGGAGGTGACAGGATGTCAGCAGGATGGCTGCCCTAGGACAAGGCCACAAATGCAAACCATGTAGTTTGAAATTCCTAAGCCTCTCCTGATCATCAGCTTTATAAGCTGACAAAAAGAGTGGAGATCAGAAAAAACCTGAAAAACAGGTTAATACACTTGGCCCAAATGACACCGCCGGACATTGCAATCAGCAACACAGAGAGCACATTCTCTTTAGTCTATGAAGACAAATGCCAGGCAAATCTCAAAAAGCTTCAAAGGATGCAAAATGCACAGAGCAAGTTCTTGGGCCACGATGCAGTTTAGCTAGAAATCAGTAAAAAGAGAAGCAGAAAGTGCCCAAAGAATCTGTAATTTAAACAACATCTTTTTCTTTAAATCTTTTTGAGATAGGGTCTCACTATGCAGTTCAGGCTGGCCTAGAACTCACTATGTAGCCCAGGCTGGCCTCAAACTCACAGAGATCATTCTGCCTCAGCCTCCTGAGTGCTAGGGTTACAGGGGTATGCCACTATGCCTGGCCATCAAATGACATATTCTTAAGTAGTCATAAATTTTAAAAAAAAAAAAAACAAAATTAGAAAATACTTTGATCTGCCAGGCGTGGTGGCGCACACCTGTAATCCCCACACTCAGGAAGCTGAGGCTTGGGCTACACAGTGAGTTCAAGGGCAGCCTGAACTACATAGCAAGACCTTGTTTCAAAAAAAAGCCAACAAAAAATATTTGAGCTGAGTAGGATATGACATGCCCAGAGTGAGGGTGATACAGATACAAGAAAGGGTGCAAAAGGAATTGTTTAAGCATTCACCTCAAGAGGCAACCTGAGAAGCAACAAAAAAGGTATTCAAAGTGAAAAGAAATCAGAAGTAAATACGAAAGACCCTACACAGACATTAAAGTGATTAAAAAGAAGACATTTTGAACAACTTTATACCTCAAAAATTTAAAATCACATATAATAGGAAAGCTAACACAAAAAAAGGAAAATCAATTGAATAAAATCTATAACTAAAATATTCTCTTACTGGGAAACCTAAACCCTGATAGTTTTATCAGAGTTGATTCATTCAATTAAAGAAATAACAACAAAAAAAGGGCGTGGTGGCGCACGCCTATAATCCCAGCACTCTGGAGGCTGAGGCAGAAGGATCATTGCAAGTTCGAGGTCAACCTGGACTACAGAATGAGCTCAAGGCCAGCCTGAACTGCATAGCGAGACCTTGTCTCAAAAAAACAAAAACAAAAAAAACGTAATTCATACATGGTACAATGAACTCTTCTGGAAAATATTTTAAAAAGGAACCTTCCCTGGCTCCTTCTATGAGGCAAAATCTAAGGAGCACTTAGAAAGAAATGAAAATTATAGGCCAATCCTTCTTTTGAACAGACTCAAAAATCCTAAAGGGATATTAGCAAATCCAATATCCAATGAGATATAAAAACAGTAATACAAAAATTGAGTTTATTTCAGGAATGAAAAATGGGTTTAATATCAGAAAACCAACTGATGCAATTCAGTCACATTAAAAAAAAGTCTAACTTCCTCAACAGATACGAATTTCCTTAATATGACATCAGAGGTATCAAAAAGCTTTCCTTCCCCCACTGGATGATACACACGTAAAGGTTACCAGCAGTTCCCCCTCCACGGTCTCAGTTACCCAAGGTCAACGCGGTCAGAATAACAACGAGACATTTCCAGAGAGACAGGCCACATTCACATCTCTTAATTACAGTAGAACTGACCTATTTTGTTACTGTCGTTAATTTCTTAGTGTGCTTCAATTGTAATTTAAATGTCTTCATCTACGTGTTTGTGAAACAGGAACCTGCTACTGTAGCCCAGGCGACCCTCCCGAGGCTGGCATTCCAGTGGGCACCATCATGCCTGCCTACACATCACACTCTACTATAGGTACCCACATGCAGGAAAACTCAGGGTACACGTACGTGGGGCTTGGTAGCATCCAGGGCTTTAGGAATCGCCTGCGAGTCCTGGAACGTATCCCAAGGATAAAGGGGTGCAGTGTTCCCCGTATTTCTATTGGACATTTTACTAGAAATTATAGCCAGTCAAGCTCAAGCATGAAAGTATCAGAATGGAGGAAAGAAAAAGAAAAAAAAAAAGCCTGTCATCATTCACAGACAACAGGATATTTAGACAAAAAACCCTAAAAGAATCTATGGAGTAACTATTATAGTAAGTGATTTTAGCATTGTAAATACAACACAGTTTCTTTAACAGCCAGACTAGACCGAAGAGTGGAAGTAGCCTCTCTATTGTTACTACCCAAATGTTCAAAAAAAGTCTGCCAGCCCCACACTCCTGGGACTTCCACCTGGCCGGAAGTGCCAGTGCCCGGGACGAAACGCTGGGAGCAAGACGCTGGTGAGGATGTTGGGCAACCAAGTCTGCTATCCGCTACCTGGACTCTGCAGGCCACAGGGTGACAGGTCTGAAGGGGAATCGCCAGCTGGCAGGAATAAGTTAGCTCGCTCAGGGGAAACACAATGACTGTTTCAGTCTAGACAGACAGGGGCACGCCTAGAAGCTAGGGGAACTCTTAATTAAAAGTGCCACCGGAAGCTAAACAGTGGCACACACGTGGAATTCCAGCAGTCTGGGAAGCTGAGGCAGGAGGATCACAAGTTCAAGTGCCCCCTGGGAAACTTAGCGAGACTGTCTCAAAAAAAAAAAAAGGCTTAGAATGGAACTCGGTGGTAGAATGTCCTTGGGTTCACGCTTCCAGTACAGCCAAAAAGAAAAAAAAAAAAAAAAAAGAAAAAAAAGACGTTTCCCAGTACAGTAAGACCAAACCCAAAGGAAAAAGCAAATAAGGTCAGCAGAGAGGACCAGAGAGGGTTCAGAACTCCGGGAACACTACCAGGTAAGCACCTTGGACAGCTGCGGTGCCCCGATATGGAGGCGGAGCAGGTAGTGCCCCATGACCCGTGTGCAGGCACCCAGCCCCACAGTCACACCAAATGCTGCACCCACCTGTTGAGCTCCCGGATGGCGCGGAGCCTGCGGATGTAGCGGCGGCAGCTGGGCAGGATGGAGAGGTGGTGTGCGTGCAGCGTGAGGAAGAAGCACTCCGTGGGGAACTTGGGCTCTGAGAACGGCGGCTGATCGCCATCTGGGGAGAGAAGAAGACCCCTGCTGAAATCCGCTGTGAGGCTCACCGAGGAGAAAAGCTCAGTTGGGCAGAGAAAACCACGTGAGTTCTGCACTAGCTTCACTTCCTGCCACTGGAAACCGCCCCCCCCCCCGCCCCCCGCCACCAAAGCTTAGCTATTTAGCACCAGGTGATGGAATTCAAATCAGAGCTTTGTAAAATGATAAACTGAGCTGATGCTGCGGGAGCAACTGCATCCTGTCAGCTCCGTCTATGACCATGTCTCCCGTCCCTTCTGGCTAAGTATTTATACAGATGTCCATTATCTTTTACATGTGTGTCCTGATCCATTTTATGAAACCACTCCCAGTTTTTAATACACAATTACTTAACCCTCAAAATAGAATTATAGTAATAAGCTATGATTTCACAGCCATTTCTCTGCACGTTTGTTGTTTCTAATTTCTATTACAAATAATAGCTTAAGGCTAGGCATGGTGGAACATGCCTATCATCCCAACACCTGGGAGGCTGAGGCAGGAGGATCACTGTGCATTCCAGACCAGCCTGGGCTGTAGTGAATTCAAGGCCAGCCTGGACTACATATTGAGACCCTATCTTAAAAGCCAAAAACAGGCTCATGAACAGGATGAGCTATACACAAAAAATTACTTTCTTGCCCCTTAGCTTTGGAAATATACTCTAAAAATTGGAATTATTGAGAATAATAGTATTATGTATTTTTATTTTGTTTTTAATTGACAGACAATATATGACTTATAGGGTGTATATTTTATATACTTACAGGGTGTATATTACTTATAGGGTGATCTCTTTCAGTACAGGCATACAAAGTACAAAGATCAGATCGGGGTAACTAGTATATATATCACCTCAAGCATTCATATGTTTTATACTGGAAACATTAAAAAAAAAAAAAACTTCTCTACTAGCAACGTTGAAATACACAATTAACTGTAGTTGACCATCATTACCCTAACTGGCTGAAGAACGTTAGAAGTTATTTCTCCTGCCCACCCAAGTGTGTGGCTTGTGCCTGAGGTCCCAGCTACCTGGGACGAACAGCAGGGAAAGGATTGCTTGAGCCCAGGAGTCCCAGGCCAGCCTGGGAGAACACAGTGATGCCTCAACAACCCGCCCACCAGCTGGGCACGGTGGCTCAGGCCCATAATCCCAGCACTGTGGAGGCTGCGGTAGGAGGACAGTGTGAGTCGAGGCCAGCCTGAACTACATAGAGACCTTGTCGCAAAAAACAAGACAAAACAAACAGAAAAACCCAACCCCTCCCCCACGCCCCAACTGTACTCTTGTGCCTACTTAAGCAGCCCCTCTTCCCCTTCAATAAGTTTTGTTATGAATCCCCAGAATCCACTTTAGATTACCAGATGAGACCTGCTCGGCACAGAGCAGGCCGGCCTGGAGTCACATCTGCAGGCTTAGAAATTCTGAAAGGGTCCCAGGGTTCACAGAGGGGTGCGGATTCACCGCATCGAGTGAGTAACTTCATGGTACTTAAGAAACAGACGGGGGCCGGGGATGTAGCTCAGTGGCAGAAGCGCCTGCCTGGCAAGCCTGAGGTCATGAGTTTGATTCCCAGTACCAAGGGATGAAAAAAGACACAAACGCCACAGGGACCTGTCTGTACTTAAATCGTGTGTCCTATCCCTGAGAGGAACAAGGATAACCACACCTCCCACACAGCTGTACTTCCAAGCCATCTGTTCATCAACACCTGTCTATGTCAGGAGCGCGGTAATTGGTGAGGATACATAAACTCCATCCTTCTTATTAAAATCCACAACAGTGTACGTCCCCTGATGTGTTCTGTGCACCTGTTTGTTTTGGTGAATCCAACGAGAATACTTCACCGAATGCCACCTCCGGGAGAGGCAGCGCCCTCCATGGTCACCGGTGACCCAGCGATGACCGTGTTACTCACAGAGCTCGGCCAGCCACTCGTTCACATCCTCCATGGTGGCGTTCACGCGCGTCTCGTCGTTGGGGAGCGTGATCCGACAGCGGGGGTGGAATATGTACGTGGGGTCGACGGTTTCTAACTTGATCTTCGTACTTAGCTGCTGCAGTACCCAGAGGAAATTCAGCATAAATCCATCTGTAGATACCAATCGATCGTCTGTCTGTGAAGCATAAAAAATATTCCAAATAAGGATCTGAGTAGAAATTTTCACACCACTTAATATGAAAGCAGAGCAACATTCAAACATGGCGATACCCTAAAGTCAGTGTGCAGACATAGACTGTCACCGCTGTCTTCTATCAGCAGGTGCTAGCAGTGAGCGTGGTCCACTGTGAAGGACGTCATACATTCACTCGACGGACTTCAGAGGGAGCCTGAGGGTCAGTAATATGCTACGCAAATTTTATAGAGGAGGGAATGCAGGGCCAGAGAACTTAAGCGATTTGCTCTAAAGCCTCCATATTAATAAGCAGAAACACAAGAAGCGTTGCCTCCTTTCCCTTATTTCCCTGTTTAAAAAAAAAAAAATCAGAATAAAAGCTGGGGATATAGCTCAGTGGGAAAGTGTTCGCCCAGGATGTGCAGGCCCTGGGTTCGACTCCCAGCACTGCAAAAAATAAACGAAACATCAGGATGACGGATTCTGTTTGTTACCATGTGACATGGTGTTGCGAGCTGACAGCACAGCCTTGCGTTAACGATCTAACGATGACAGAATGACAGTCAGCACCTGGGGAGGCAGCACTCAGTACCAACCCCGCAGCCTCACTTACAATGAAGGCACAGTTAGGTGTTACTATGATGCCATCAGCAGATGGGGAAACTGAGGCACACCTCTAACTGTCTAAGCTGCCACCTTTAATAAATGATGGGACCACAACCAGAAATCATTATGTCTATATACTTCCCTATATATATTTTTTTGCTTCTGTCATATAATTTAATATTTATTAATAATCTAGAAAGAATGTTCTTTTTCATTTTGAGACAGGGTCTCATGTAGTTTAGGCTGGCCTTGAACTCACAGCGGAGACCAGGCTGACCTTCAACTTGTGGCAATCCTCCTGCCTCAGCCTTCGAGTGCTGGGAAGGTATGTGCCATGGCTTACACACAGACCTGTATGTTGGACTTACACTGAAGCTGGTTCATTTCTACCTTGGAAGCTTGCACACATTTAGAAGAAGGCTCTTTTCTCAGCCTTGCAGGGCTGGCTCTTTATCAGGTAGGGCCCTGATCAAATGTCACCTCAGAGAGACCTTCCTGCTCCGAGATCAAATCACCCCACCCCTCCCTTCTAGCCCTGTGGGTACGCACAAGTCCTTCCCTCTGCTTTATTTCCTTTATGGCTTTCATTTGCATCAACTCACTGACCCTGAGAGCTCTCGGTTCGGTCAAGACTGCTCCCACATCCCAGAGCAGCGTCAGGGGGAGCAGGTGACGAAAGCGGGCTCAAGAACCCTACCTGCATCTGCGCCTTCTTCATGTTGGCGTTGACGACAGCTGCCATGTAGCCGAGGGCTGCCTCCCGGGTCTCCCCGTTTAACAAGATACTATGCAGAATCTTGAAGAGCTCTTGCTGCAGTTATTTTTAAAAGGAAGAGAACAATGAATCTCATTTTGAACACTATTCCTTCTGTCCCCCTACTTCCAGAACAGCTGGCCTGTCCTCCACTCTGTCCCCTCTCCCACTTCCAGTCCCTTCCCTTCCAGAGAGGCCGGCTGCAGGGGGATGGAGGGCTATGTGTACACCAGGTGTCAAGGGACCTGGTAGTAGAGCGCAAGTGGAGTGGAGGAGGTGTGGAGTTATGGTTCTAATAAAACATCTTTCATTACTTCCTTTCCACGATCAAAATTCCCTTGTCACCCAAGCCTGTGAGCTCTTTGCTTCTATGCTCAGAACTGAAGACACTCTGGGATACGCGGTAGGGATTCGCGCAGACTCAGAGCTCCCATCACCTGCACGGTTCAACTGGCTGCACCAGATGCAGAGAGAGCAGAACCCTAAGGGGCAGCTACGAGAGAGGCGGTGCCAGTTAGCGGTGGCTACTGTTCAAGGCTTAGCAAGCTGGGCCACCGCGGATCTCCAGCACAACAAAACAGAACAAAAAATTTAAAAGATGTCTGTGCCTTATATATAGGAGGCTTTCCTCCTTTAAAGCTCAACTGATTTAAATTATTTACTTACTTATTTATATATTTGGGGGGCTTTTTTTGGAGACAGTCTCATCATGCAGTTCAGGCTAGCCTCAAACTCATGGCAATCCTCCTGCCTCAGCCTCCCGAGTGCTGGAATTATTGGTGTGTGCTACCATGCTCAGCTTGAAACTGACTTTCCTACCCGCTACCCCATCCCCGGTACTGGGAATCAAACTCATGACCTTGCGCTTGCCGGGCAGGCGCTGTGCCACTGAGCTAAATCCCCAGCCCCAAAACTGACTTTCAATAGCATTTGTGAACCGGGCAGCCTCCTGTGCACAGAAAGGAAGGGGCTCCCCAGCTGCAGCTCCTGCTCCACTCCTTGCTTCCGTCCCTTCCACACCTACCCTTCCCAGCTCCAAGTAGTGCTGCAGGGACTGGCTGACCACGCGCGTGTTCTCCAGGGTAATGGCGGGCCCCGAGAAGTATTTTTCAACCACTTTAATCTGGAGAGAGAAGGAGCACGGTGGCACATAATGCACAGCTGGGAAGGAATCTGAACAAAACAGCAGCGAGGGCAAATGGGCACTGGACTTACGTCGTCTTCGGCAAAGACGGAGAAGCTGAAGAAGGCTCCCAGGTACGACAGTCTCTGCAGCTCCCGCCCCGAGCCGGGGCTTAAGGGTTTTGGCAACCACAAGGGCAGAGAGGCAACCTGTGTGGGACATGGAGGGAGGTCAGTCAGATGCTGAACACGAAGGCGAGCAGTGGGGGCACGGCCTGAGCCCCGGTGGCACCTGCTCAGTACCAGGGCTAACGCTGCCACCCCAAAACACAGGCACAACTCTCTTAGGATCCCTGGTGGCATTCTCTCACCTGGGACAGGAAAACCCTCTAGCTCCGACAAGTGTACAAGACACTCTTCGGTGGAGTTGGAACAAGCCGTGCTCACCCTACCCAAAGGACTGGAGTATAAACTAGGATTTGTTCCTCTACTTGTACAATACTGATCCCCCCATAAAAATAAGAAAGCAAACAACTCTGTTGCAGGAAAAACCATAGTTAACAGCAAGGTAATAGCTGAGAGCTCCCAGGTCCGGAACCTCCAGCTCTGTCCTAATCTCCTCCCCAGAGTTCTTTTAGCTGATGTGACTGAGCGAACGGCTCTCACGTGGTGACACCCTGACAATGTGCGCGCATGCGCGGGCGAGGCACTTACCAGATTGCACACGGGGTGCGTCTTCCCAAACTTGGTTTCACAGAGTTCACCTAATGCCTAGAGATAAGATCAGACGGGATCACTGATATGCATTGCATCTCCAACTGCTGCAAGGAACAGCTTAAACTGCGGTACACCTATCTGTGCCTTCTCTCAACTATGGTGACAGCTTTGTGACGTTTTACTACTTAATAAACTACTAATACACATGCAACTGTAAAAATCAAACTGTACCATCGCAATAACCCCTACTGACATTTTGATTAACAGTTTTCCAGACATACTTTTGTGCATATAGAGCCTTAAACGTGTATGCTTATACAAAAGGCAAGGTTTCGCTTTACATCTTTCCATGTCAAAATACGTGTTTCATAAACTTTAGTGGCTCTCTTGGCAGCGCTGCCAATGCTACACTCAGCATTTAGCAAGCCTCCCAATTCAGAACACAGAGAAAAGCACAACTCTCCTTGGGCATGCCAATCATCCCACCTTAGAGGATTATGATAAACAGTTTTTAGGGATGGAGACAATTTCACGTTGTCATGGTGATTCAACAAAACAATGCCGAATATCAACTGAATTGTCTCTGTGATTCAGGCACAGCTATCACTGAGCTGCTAACCAGCGAGGGAAGCCTGCAGGTTGGTGCATTCAGGCGGAGGCTGCTCTGAGAGCCCGGGACGCTCAGGGAGCTGTCTTTGCTGTACATGAGGGTCACATGGGAAGGCTTAAAAATCCGAATCCCACCGGGCATGGTAGTGCGCTCTGATAATCCAGCACTCAGGAGGGTGAGGCAGGAGGACCACTGTGAAATCAGGGCCACCCTGGGCTACATAGTGAGTTCAAGGCCAGCCTGAATTACAGAGAGAGACCCTGTCTTAGAAAAAAACCCCAAACCAAAACAAATCCAGTAAAAAAATTCCAATCCCATGCCGTACCCTCTCCTATTCAGTCACAGCGCCTGAAGCTGACCTGGGCCCCAGCAGCAGGAAAGGCCCCTCAGGTGACCCTCCAGCAGGGGACACAGTGGGGTCCAACAACCTACACAGCAAGCCCAGCTACCTCCACACTCAGCTCCTGCTCTCTGCCGCTTCGCGCCTCTCACTGCGCTTCCTGGCCCGTACCCCCGTTATCACGCAAGAATCAATAGAGGCCCCAACTAAAATCGCTGGCTACTACGATGCGGGCTTGGTCTCTTACCAAGGACATGCTGCTGACATCTGACACTGAAAGTGCCCCACTGAAATATGAGACTCATTCAAACCATAACCAAAAAGCCAACAATTCCAGAAGGAATATTTACCTAATATGGTGACAACTAGCATTACCTAAAGTATTTCCTGACCAAGCTCTCCGTAATGATGTTACGCTACCTCCTGTTCTGTCTGCCATGGACACAGTACGTAAGGATTAATATATTTTTACTAGGAATCTGAATAAATGCACAATGCAAAGAACCCCAACATAAATTCACTCAAATGAAATTTTTTAGAAGAATTCCTGCCTCATCTTCTAATTTCCCAGTTGTCACATGACCTTTTAGCCTGTTAAGTGTTTCGTTAGTTCTGATTTTTTCAAATTGGACAAATGTCAGCCAGGCATGGTGGTGCCCTCCTGTGATCTCAGCACTCAGGGGGCTGAGGCAGGAGGATCCCCGGGAATAGGAGGCCAGCCTGAACTGCACAGTGATACCCTGCCTCTAAAAGACCAAAAGCTGGGGATATAGCTCAGTGGCACAGCACCTGCCTGGCAAGCGTGAAGTTGTAAGTTCAATTCCTGGTACCAAAAAAATAAAATAAAATAAAATAAAATAAAATAAAATAAAATAAAATAAAAATAAATAAATAAAAGACCAAAAAAAAAAAAAGAGACCAAGACGAAAGTCCCCTTTGTGGCTGCCTACCTCTGTGTCAGCGTTTGTCTCAGTGTAATCACCTCACTGCTGTGTAGTGACTTCACTTTGCAGTAGATACTGAGGACCTGGTCTTATGAGCTCCTGAGCTCATGGTGTAATGCAGTCAAGTCAGTAGAACAGGTAAAAGGAACGCATTCGGTAAAATAAAATCAATTCTACCACGGTGTCGTTTACCAGGCTGTACCACTGGTCATTCAGGAAATGCAAATTACAACAATGCTGAGATTCCATCCTGTTCCGGAAAGAACGCCTGTCATCAGGAAATCAACCAGTAACAACTGCTGCTGGGGCAGTGGGGAGGGAGAACCCTTCTCCATTGCTGGTGGGCAGGTAAACTGGTACAACCACTATGGAAATCAGTGTGGAGATTCCTAAAACACTGGACCTAGGGTTCCATTTGACCCAGCTGTTTCCGTTCTAGGCTCTTCCTGATAGAGTTGAAAGCATTATACCACAGTGACATGTACACACCCACTTTTACAGCAACTCATGACAGCTGAATCTTGGAGACAGCCCATACGCCCATCAACAGATGAATGGATAAAGAAGATGTGGCTTTTATACACAATGGAGTACTACTCAGCCATAAAGAAAGATAAACTTGAATTATCTGTAGGAAAATGGAGGCACCTTGAGACCATAACCTTAAGTAAAATAAATTGGACGCACAGGTTTAAATATTGCATTGTTTCTCTTGTGTAGAAACCCAAAGGGTAAATAAAGAGGACAGACATCAGGAAGTAGGAAGAGCATGTTCAAAGGGGAGGGGGCACAGGAGGGGGCGGGGGGAGGAAGGTAGGAAAAATGAAGAAAAGATAATGGAAGGAAAAATGGAAACAAAGCTTGTGGATGGGGATGGGAAGAGGGATTAAAGGGAAGGGAGGGGAATGGGGAAAAAAGAACTAAGATGTATTATGTATAGGTACAGTTTCCCTATGATGACTGTGATCAATATGTATGAATAAAAAAATAAAGTTGAAAAAATTTACCAAGTTGTATATAAACATCAAGTAAATCAACTTTTTATTTCAACAGTTTTTCCCTTCTAGTTTTAGAATAAAAAATGTTCAGTAATACTCCCAAACTTGTTTATTTACTTCCTTATTGGAAGCAGAACTCGAACTCAGGACCTTGCATTTGCCAGACAGGTGCTGTGCTGCCCAGCTACACCCGCGGCCCTTTACCCACAATTGTAAAGAAGCAAGTTCAGACACAAAAGAGTCTCTCAGTTTCCTCTTGGGTCCTCCACGGGAGCCCAGGCAGAGGCTCTGTGATTTATGACGGCGCAGAGTGCTGGGCGGGGCTGAGTTCATCTGCTTCCCAAGGAAAGCCCACAGTGAGTATATGGAGAACAGCATTACTCTGAGATAAACTGTATTACTTTTCTTAGTATGCTGCTTTGTTATTTGCTTTACTATTTTTTAAACAAATTTTTTTCAAAAATTTTATTTACGTATTATTATTATTCTTGTTTTTTTTTTTAATGTATGTGGTGTTGGGGATTGAACCCAGGGCCTTGTGCAGGCAATACAAGAGCTCTACCATCCCCAGCCCCTTGAACAAATTTTATCCCAAATACTGATGCCCATTACTCAGAGAATCGGAGGGACACCAATCGTTAACCTTATTAGTGACACATCAGGGAGAAGGACAACTTAACAGCGCAACACTACTGCCCAGGCCTGGGACGTGGGGAAGATACCAGGCTGCTAAGTGTGTCACCAAGGTGCCTCACCCGACACCAAGTACCTTCTATGGCCAGCACCAAGGCCCCATGTTTTTTTCTTCTTTTGAGACAGGGACTCGCTACACAGTTCAGGCTGGGCTCAAACTCACTATGTAGTCCAAGCTGGTGTTGAACTCACAGTGATCCTCCTGCCTCAGCCTCCCTTACAGACATGCACTACCACGCCCAACTGCCCCTTGTTTTCAATTGGAAAATAAGGTTGATCGCAGACCTGAAAGAAAAAAGTAAGTGGAAACTATTTTAAAGAAACACATCTATTGACTATGATAAAGAAAAAGGGTTTTACCATGAGGGGGTATTTAAAGTAGTCACTATCGAGGGAGCATTCTTTGGCAGCAAGAGCCAGGCCTTGCAAAATGGGGATAAAGATCTGAAAGACAAAAATCAAAATGACAAACATAAGCTTATGGAAAACACAGCACGGGCAGCAGGTCAAGCAAGGTACCGCGGCTAAACGTCCAGGCAGCGCCCTCCTCCCCCAGGAAGAAATGCGGCTGAGTCACCTCAGGCCTCCTGCTAGCAAGGCCAACCTGAGGTGACGCAGTGAGGACGCTAAGGAGGCGACAGAAACCCCAGGTAACCGCATTCTGCTCATCTCAGTGGCTCCACCAGGAGTGTCTGTCACCTGTAGTGCAACTGGCCTAAAATGTTCCAGTATTTTCTTCGTTCTGACAGTATGTTTTTAAAAAGTTCTTGCTTATTTTGAGGAAAACAAGAAAAACAGATGAATCATGGATGTTATTATTAACCTTGAGAACACAGAGAGCTGATAATGTTCAAACTGAGAAAGCAGGCTTGCACAAGAACACCTTCCCTCCATCCCAAGGGCAACTGATACAATAACCTGGTGCTGCCGCTGAAGCTGAGCACATTCAAATGTACTTAAAGATTTTTCCCACTAATCCTGGTTAATGCTATGCTCAGCTCACTCTCAAGCTTTACGAGGCACTGCCTTGAGCATGTGACTGGGCAGGCACTGGTTTGGATTCAAGGCTACTTGCATGAACTAGAAAATGCTATAAACTGCAGCTGACAGTCTGACCACCACAGGTTGGAAAATTCTCTCTCCCACCGGTTCACCCCATCCTCCCGAGAACTTTCACCATTGAAAGATGTAGAACCAATGACCTGCCCTCCCTCCCGAGTGTCTGTGGATGCCCTGAGATATTCACAGCTCTCTCGAAGGCATCAGTCTAGTTTTCTCAACTCAAACAACCAGGGAAGAAGTAATGTGCTTTCATAAACAAGCTAAAAACAGAGAGGCACGCAGGCATGGGTGTGGGCAGCATCAGGATTGTAGTCATGAAGCAAAGGCATGCAGAAGGTTCTAGAACCTCAAAAATACATTTCACAGTTGGTCCTCTGGACAAATCTTTTTAATTTTTTAGCAATGATATAAATGAAACGTGTATTGTTTCTAGTAGTTATCCTCCCTTATCCAACTAAGGGCTTAATTTATAGTAAATGGACAAAATATGACTAAGTATAATATTTTCAAACATACAAGTATTATACTATTTATGTGACCTACATACTTTAAATAGTTCTTATTTTCACATCAATGCCACTTGTCACTGATAAAAGAAAAAGTGCTATGAGTAAATATTCACTTCCAATCTTAAGTGCTTTTCACAGTTACCACAATTCTGAGACAGAAAGGTCAAATAACGTTTCTCAGCTCAGCAACTACATTTCACTGTTTCTCTCTACGCAAAACTAATGATAGCAAAAAAGATAACAATGGCTAGGACTGAGTGGCTGGGCCAGGTCAGTAGTGGACAGCTGTGATCCCAGCTGTTCTGGAGGCAGAGGCCAGAACTGCAAGCTCAAAGCCAACCTGGACAACTTAGCAAGATCCTATCTCATAATTTAAAAAAAAATTGCTGGCTGTGGTAGAGCAAGCCTGTAATCCCAGCACTAGGGAAGCTCAGGCAGGAGGACAAGGCCAGCCTGGGCTATACACTGAGTCCAAGGCCAATTTGAACTATATAGTGAGACCCTGTCTCAAAAAAAAAAAAAAAACAAAAACAAACAAAAAAACCTGGTGTGGTGGCACACACCTGTAATCCCAGCACTTGGGAGGCTGAAGCAGGAGGATCACTGTGAGTTCAAGGCCAACCTGGATTACATGGTGAGACCCTGTCTCAAAATAACAAAAGAAAAAAAAAAAAAAAGAATTTCGTGATTAAAAATAATTAAAAAATAATAATTAGGTTTATGGTGGTTGTACAACAGTGTTGGATTAAATTTCAATAAAACGTACACTTTATTTTTTTGAGTAGGGTTTTGCTATGTAGTTCAGGCTGGCCTCAGACTCACAGGGATCCTCTTGCCTCAGCCTCCTGTGTTGGGACTATAGGTATTCATTAATCACATGCCTTAAAAGGGGGATTTGGGGTGGGTCAGTGGTGGAACACTTGCCTAGCATGCTCTAGGCCACGGGTTCCGTTCCCACCACCACCATGAAAGGGGGGTGGGGCCACTGGACGCTAGTGAATTTCACCTCGATTATAAAAACTAAAGAGCTGACTTCATAAACTCTGCATACATCTGTGAATAAAATAGGAACAACAGGGCCCTTTCAGCTGACACCAGGCTGATTTTATACAGTTAAAACTATGCTAGGTTCCACCAGTGATGGCTTTTTCAATAGTCAAGTATTCTGGTTAATGCCCACTCCACCCAGAAGGGGGCTCTACTTAAACTTCCCCAGGGAGTTACTTTGTTGTCTCTGTGAAAAAGAAAAGCTCACAGCACTATTCCTGTCAGCCAACAAGGCCAACTTTAAAGATAAGCGGTAAATGAATTTCACACAGAGGGCTTGACATGTACTGGAAGGTCTGTGCTTGGGTCCTGGACTCTTCTTTTACAAACACAGGCCTGGAGATACAGCTCAGCGGCACAGCGCCTGCCTGGCAAGCATGAGATCGTGAGTTCAAGTCCTGGTACCAAAACAAAAACAAAAACTAAACTAAACTAAACTAAACTAAAAATTCAAGTCTTAAGACTATTCGACACAGAGCAGGGCAAACGGTATGAGCCCAATTCCAGCAAATGCGTCCGTTGCTCTTTCCAGTCACAAAAAAGAAATGATGAGACAGCAAATTCTACCCAAATTTTATAAATGCCCTTTCAAAAAGGGAAATGGTTCAACATATGTAAATCGATAAGCACTACACCATACTAACAGAGCCAAGGACAAAAACCATATGATCATCTCATTAGATGCAGGAAAAGCTTTTGACAAAGTCCAGCATCCATTCATGATAAAAACCCTACAGAAAACTGGAATAGGTGGTCTTTACCTCAATATGATAAAAGCCATCTGTGATAAACCAACAGGCAACATCATACTAAATGGACAAAATCTGAAAGCACTCTCTCTAAAATCAGGAACAAGACAAGGATGTCCACTGTCTCCACTCTTATTCAAAACAGTCCTGGAAACTTTAGCCAGAACAGTAAGACAAGAGAAAGAAGTAAAAGGAATAATGATAGGAAAGGAAGAAGTTAAACTATCATTATTTGCAGATGACATGATAGTCCACATAGAAGACCCCAAAAACTCCACTGAAACAACTGCTAGATTTAATAAACAAATTCTGGGACCCGGGATATAGCTCAGAGGCACAAGCACCTGCCTGCCAAGTGCAAGGTCCTGCCCTTAATTCCTGGTACCAAAAAAGAAAAAAAGAAACAAATTCAGTAGTGTAGCTGGATACAGTCAACACTCAAAAATCAATAGCCAGAGAGAGGGCCCCCGGCGCACGGGGAGCCATGGGCAGGGAGCACCAGTCTTCCGACCAGCAACTCGCTCCCTGCCGCACAGGCCCCCGGAGGGAGGGCCCCCGGCGCACGGGGAGCCATGCGGCCGAGAGCGCTGTGGCGTGCCGGCCTTTAGGCCGGCAGCCGCTGCTCAATTGAGAACTATCATGACACAGAGAAACAATGACACAATTGGCCCACCATGCACTGGCTGCAGATGTCCACCTAAGGATGGGTGTGAATCATTCAAACATGGAGAAACCCCTGGGAATACATGCTATACAACTCTTGCTCCTGCCATTGAGAACCAGAAAGGTCTAGAGCCAGCGGAGGAGCAGCTGCTAAACAAGGACTCGGAGAACATGAGAATGGGGTCAGAGGTCCTGTGGACTGGGGTCATGAGAGCTGCTCGGAAGCTGTAAACCAGGAGGACCTTGCACAATACATGCGGAGACTCCCTGGAAGCCATTCTTCTCCTGACAGTACAGGCTGTGGTGGAGCCCTGGAGAAGTCTGCAACAGGATTCCTGCTGCCTGTGCTGGCAGTTGGGGAGAGGACACTAACTGGTTGTGGGGTCCCAATATCAATGGGAGGCTGGAGAGAAAACGCTACAAAAAATGGCTTTGGCCCACCCCCCCCCGCCAAAAAAAAAAATCAATAGCCAGGGCTGGGCATGGTGATGTGTGCCTGCAATCTCAGCACTCAGGAGGTTGAGGCAGGAGGATCATTGAGTTCAAGGCCAGCCTGGGTTACAGAGTGAGTTCAAGACCAGCCTGAACTGCATAATAAAACCTTGTCTCAAAAACACACAAAAAAAAAAGAAGACAAAAAAAAAAAATAGCCTTCCTGTACTCGAATAACAAACTCACTGAGAGACAAATTAGGGAAACAACACCTTTCATAACAGCACCTCAAAAAATAAAATACCTAGGAATCAATCTAACGAAGGATGTAAAAGACCTCAACATTGAAAACTACAGTACTCTGAAAAAGGAGACTGAAACAGGTATCAGAAACAAAGATATCCTCTGCTTTTGGTAGTGAAAATGGCCATACTTCCAAAACTTATACACATTTAGCGCAATTCCAATCAAAATTCCATTCCAACAGCATATCTCACAGAATTAGAGAAAACAATCCTAAAATTCATTTGCAACCACAAATAACAGACCTATAATAATAGCAAAGCCAATTCTGGGTAGCAAAAGTGAGGCAGAGGACATCACAATCACAATCCCTGATTATACTATATGAAATTATACTATAAAGCTACTGTGATAAAAACAGTATAGTACTGGCAAAAACCAGACTCGAAGATCAATGGAACCGATTAGAAGATGTAAAAACAACTCCAGATATACTTGGCCACCTTACCTTCGACAAAGGTGCCAAATACATTCACTAAAAAGAAAGACAGTCTCTTTAATAAATAGTGCTGGAAAAACTGGCTTTGCACGTGCCGAAAATTAAAATTGTACCCTTATCTTTCACTATGTACTACACTAAATTCAAAATGGATCAAACATCTAAATATTAAAACAGAAATATTAAATCTGCTGGAAGATAGAATAGGCCAAACTCTTGGAGATATTGGTGTAAGCAAAGACTTTACGGGTAAAACCCCAATCGCACAGGCACTATCATAAAGAAGCAACAACTGCGATCTCATCTTACTGAAAAGCTTTTGTAAGACAAACCACCAACAGAGTGAACAGACAACCCAGAATGGGGGAAAAAAGGTTTGCCAGCTGTTCCTCAGACACAGGATCAAAATCGAGAACACATAAAGAACTCAAAAAGATCAGCCCTCCCAATTTTAAAGATCCACTCCAAAAATGGGCATGTGACATGAATACACACTTCTCACACAAAGACATACAAGCGGCAAACAAATATATGGAAAAATGTTCAACATCACTGGTCATTTGAGAGACACAAATTAAAACACTGAGATTCCATCTCACTCCAGAAAGAATGGCTATCATCAAGAAGTCAATCAATAACAAATGCTGGAGGGGCTGTAGGGAAAAAGGAGCCCTTCTCCACTGTTGGTGGGAGTGCAGACTACTGCAACCACTGTGGAGATTCCTCAAAAAACTAGGATTGGAGGTCCCATTTGACCCAGCTATTCCCCTTTCTGGGTATCTTCCCAGAAGAATTAAAAACACCATACCACAGTGATGTATGTGTATTCATGTTTATGGCAACACAATTTGTAATAGCTAGACCTTGGAAACAACCCACATGCCCATCCACTGAGGAATGGATAAAAAAAGATGTAGTCTTTTTATACAATGGAGTACTCCTCAGCCATAAAGAAGGATAAACTGGAGATTTTTATAGGTAAATGGATGCACCCTGAGACCATACTATAAGTGAAATAAAGCAGACGCACATGTGCAAAACACAGTATTGTCTCCCTAGTATGAGAAGCTGAAAGATAAATAAGATCCAAAACGTACAACGGATTTGGTGAAACAGGAAGAAACTGTTCAAAAGGAAAGAGAAACTGGGATATAGATAAGGAGAAAAGAAGGAAGGGAAAAGCAAAGAAAAATTATACACACACAAAAAAAAAAATAGTTAAGCCAGTTATACTACTAATTTCTCTTAGTTCACTGAAAAGAAAGGTTTGTGCTAATATTGTCTGGACAATTAAGTGCCAATAGCTTATACTCTGAGTAATTTAAAGTTAACAGTATGCAAAAACAATTGTTATTCTCCTATTATCTTGTTTTGAAATTGTTTGATTTTTTTCTCTTTAAAATAAAATTAAAAAAAAAAAAAAACAGCTTGTGTGAACACTGCTGGGGCGAAATGCTTGCTCTACCACACAGGGTATCAGACAGCAAATAAACCGCGCCACCTGGGCTCGCCTGGCAGGAGTCCTGAGACTCACATTTTATTAGCATGTATCTCGGATCTGCATTTCCATCTGACTTTGTGAAAGAAAGTACCGGGAGAGGGGCACACACGGGAAGGAAGAGGTAAATAGCAAGATAGAATAGGGCTTTCTCGGTATTGTTGTCAGAACACAACGATCCTATGTGACATGCAGACTGTCACTGATCTCATCTGGTCATTAATTTATTACTCTCACAAACTCAGTCAGAGAACTGATTAAGCACCACTCATGTGGTACATAGATGTGCATGCTGTCTTATATGTTTCCCTGTTATTCTTGTATTAAAAGGCCCTTCAAACTGAGTGTATGGTTTTCTATATTTTCTTCTTCCCAAAGCACCTAGCACAGTGCCAGGGAACAGTGGCAGGTGTCTGTAATTCCAGTACTTGGGAGGCTGAGGCAGGAGGACTGCTGTGAGTTCAAGGCCAACCGGGGCTACGCAGTGAGTTCAAGGCCAACCTGAACTACATATACATTTTCTCAAAACACACACACACACACACACACACACACACACACACACACACACTCACTCAATCAAACCAAAATACCCAGCACAGACCCTGTTTAAAGGACTCGAGGCTTGACCAACAGTTGAAACAGACACGTGCACTGAACAATGCTGCTGTCAGTCCAGTCTCCTCCAGATCAGAACCTCCAGCAGGTCTTCTCGCTAAGCAAACTGCACATGCGGGTCCCGTGTGGGAACGGAAGTTCTCGACAGAGGCTTCGCGCTGAAGCCGCGGCAGCAGAGCCCGCCATACCTGCTTGAAGACGTCCTCGTCCTGGTGAGTCGTCCTCACCAGCTCCTGGATGAAGCCGTAGGGGAGATTCCTGCACAGCATGTAGGGCACGAGGAAGGATGGCTGCTGCATGGACCTGAGGAGCCAGAGAGCCAGGAGCGCCCTGGAGTCACCATCGCGCACAACACACGGCCCGCGACACGGCGCGGCAACCCGAGCGCCCAGGTGCAAGGCAAACCTGAAATCTCCAAACACTCTGTGCAACAGTCTTAGGCAAAGGATAATCTTTCTCAGCATGTGGTGAGCACTTCTTGGGCTTTTAGAAGAGATACTACAGTCAGTTGCAAAGATTCCACCTCTTTCTATGTAGTCTTTTAAATGAACCATTAGGCTGAGCACAGTGGCGCATGCCTGTAATCCCAGCACTTGGGAGGCTGAAGCAGGAGGACTGCAAGCTCTAGTCCAGCCTGAAGAACTTAGAGATCTTATCTTAAAATTTTTTAAAAAATTAAAAGGGCTGAGGATATAGCTCAGTGCAAAGGCCCTGGGTTCAATGCCCAGGATCACACTAAACATTAAAAATAAAGCATAAAATGTTCCATTTACTTTTTTTTCTTTTCTGAGATAGGGTCTTACTACTATGTAGCCCAAGCTGGCCCTGAACTTGTTACGTAGCCCAAGCTAGCTTCAAACTCGCCTCTGGCCTCAGCCTCCTAAGTGCTGGGATTACAAGTGTGTACCATCATACTTGGCTCATTTTTTATATCTCATCCAAACTGGGGGGGGGGGGAAACAGCACTAATCTTTGAAAAACTTGTTTTTCATTTTAAGTTTTGATACATGTATATAATTTTCTTTTTGAAGAGTATCAAAAATATACAGTTATGGTACAGAAAACAAGACCACCTAGAAAAAAATCAATGTAACTTTATCATTTCTCCTTCCGATATTTTTGCATAAAAGAAATTAAATATACAATCTTTCATTAGAGTTGCAATATTTACAGAACTCTCAGAAACAAACAATGTAGCACTTACAGCCATTTCCAAATTATCTCTTCTACCTCTATTCTTTATTTTATTCATTTATTTTTGTTTTGTTTTTTTCAGACAGGGTCTTGCCATGTAGCCCAGGTTAGCCTCAAATTTATGGAGAGCCTCTTGCCTCAGCCTCCTAAGTGCAGGGATTATAAGCATGGATAAATTGGTCACTCATGTATAGCTCTATTTGTTTTCTTTAGAAACCACTTTGAAGATCCCAAAGTATAGTACAACAGCCACTGATAATCTTCTACCACTTTTGTATGTAACTCACTATTATTTGTCTATTTGTTTTCCTGAGAAAGTATCTTGTAGATAATATGTAAAACAAAAGCCATTGATAATTTCCTACCACTTTGTCTGTAATTTGGTAAGCCCCCCTATTACTATGTTATCCTTCTTTTACTCTTTAAAATAAAAAAAAATTTTAAAAGAAAGCATGCATACCTCTATTCTTTATTACTAAGTAACAGAGACTCCCAAATTATCCCCTCTACCTTTACTCTTTATTAACAAGTAACAGACTGTGCGTTACATGGAAAGTGAGGGCCTATACTGTTTATCAAATCCCTCCACCAATTTCAAAGAGCTGATTTTAGGTTGAATTTTTCTGCGTATGATCTACTTGAACAAGCACACAGACGTCTTCAGACAGAACTAATTCCTTTTTAAGATATGCTTGGCACATCTTTGGAAGATGAAGAAGAAACCAGTGTTCGGTTTCTTTGGTGTTTTAGAGAAGGAAAAGATCTCAGATTGCTGATCGAACCCTCTCACTTTCCAGGAGAAGAAAGGAGTGACCCGGTGCACAGCAGGATCGGGGATGGCCCGATGTACCTGGGGACGGGTCCCCTCCCCGGGGACACCCAGCACTGAGGCCGGCCGCCCTTCCTACCTCGGCTGTGTCAGTGAGCCCTGCAGCACTAGCGCAGTGTGGGAGATGCACTGCGAGCGGATGTTGCTCAGAAGCTGGCTGACCGCTGGCTGGCTGCACATCTGGAACACAAAGGTGGCATCAGGACAAGAGACAAAACAAGCCAGCGCTTCTCAGAGGTGACAAGGCTCAGAAGAGAACGACAGCTAGAAAACGGCACGTTCTTCCCTTCCTTTAGCAGGATGAGCAAAATGCATCACGGCCATGAGCATGTTGCCTCAGCACAGCCCCCTGCAGTCTACGGGTGCTCGGAACATGGGTCACTACCGTGCACGACTGTGGCGCGTTTCATCAGCAATGGTCGGGGCTAAGTCAACTGCAGCACCCAGCTAACAGGCGGGCAGGAGACGGGGCTCGGAGCAGGCCAGCTTGGCTCTGCTGCCTCCTCGCCTTGACAGGAGGTGCTTCTCTGGGGCAGGGTCTCTGCTGTGTACTTGGACACATCTCCAGGTGCTGGGCACATGACAGGTGCGCCCTCGCGCCTTCCCAGACTGAATAAATGAACGGCCCCCACCGGGGCGGGGGAGCAGCGAACAAACAGGACCCTTTGCTGTTACCTTTGGTGCTTTTTTTTCCTCTATTCCAACTCGGTCAAAACACTCAATGAGGTAGTTCAGCATGTCTGTCTCCTTGCAGGTTTCAATGGTGAAATGGTCACTGTAGGAATCCCAGTTACTCGCTCCGCCACCAGAGGCTCCCAAACTTTGGAGAAGAGAAAAATAAAGATGGTGACGCTCACCCCTTCTTGACGATTCCTTTCCCAGAGCTTGTGTTTCTGCGGCAGAAGGCCCGTTAGAATCCCTGCGCAAGGGACAAAGCACAAACACATGCAGCCCCCTGGGGAGGCAACAGCTTGGTTCCCTGTTCCCAGCCCAGGGACCTCAGTGTGGGGGAATATTTTATAGACCAAGGAGGGGGCCTTAGCTTATTGGGAGCGACAACCTACAAAACCAGAAGGACCAAGTACCACTACCGAAGGCTAAGCAATTGAAGAGACCTCCCAGCTACTCAAACTGTCCTCGAGCAGACAGAGGGAAAAGCCCGACTGAGCGATGGCTACAGCCCAACTCCTTAGGACAGAAGTTCCAGGGGGCTGGGAGGGCCTCGCCCACCCTCCTGACTTCCAGCACAGATCTGCAAAAACATCATCCAGCATTTGGCGAGAGGACCAGGGTTAGGGAAAGGGCCCCGTGAAGAACAAGATACACACACACACACACACACACACACGCACACACACAAACAACAAGACGCAAATGTATTTGCTAGTAACAAAAAAAAGTCCAAACCTTCAAGTGCAGAGGCAAATTAGTACTGAAAGCAATATAAGCAAAAACTCTGCGCTAGGGCCCGGCAGACCCGCTATGCTCACCTGCTACCTGAATTCAGACCCTCCTCCAGCAAGCAGTGGTGAAATAAGGTGAAAGTGCTACAGCAAGGATCAGCATGGGCCAGTGGGAAGGGGCATCATTATTTGTAGTAACTATTCTATTCTCTGGGACAAAAGCCAAATATGGTCGCAAAGGTTAAGGCCAGCCACAGGCAGGTCACGTATGGAATAGGGCATTGAGGTCACACACTGACCTGATGTGGATAAAATATAGAGATTAATGGAGGTGCAGGGAGAATGGGGGACTGGAAGAGAGCAGCAGGTGCCTAGGGTAGTACAAAGATTACCCAGGGAAGAGGATAAAGGGCAGGGAGAGTATTAGGAACTTGAGAAGTACATCCCGGCCCCAGCCAAGGTCAGACAACTAAAGGCCAGTAACTAAAAGGACCAAGAGATATGAGAGAGCAATGACATTCTACAGCTACACAAACGTGTGTGACTAATTCTGAAATATAAACACATAGCTGACCTTAGCATTTGGGGGAAAATGCATAATTGACCTTAGAATGAAACCATGATTTTAAAATACTTCAGTAAAGAAGGTGATGACAATACCAGGTTTTGCTTTTGTTGTTGTTTTAAAATAGCTTCTCCCTTGGCTGGGCATGGTGGCACACGCCTGTGAACCCAGCCCTTGGGAAACAGAACTGCTTCAAGGTCGAGATCATCCTGGGCTTGGTAGTGAGTGCAAAGCCAGAGTGGGCTCCACAGTAGTCTTCCTACGTAGCCCAGGCTGGCCTTGAACTTGCGGTAATCCTCCTGCCCCAGGTGAGTGCCACCATGCCCAGCTCGCCAATGTCAGTTTCAAATCCAAAGCTTTCAGTTCAGAATCCAGCAAATCTGAATTCCTACAACCTGCAGCGAGGCCTGGTGGAAGGAAAGGAAGGAGACGAGGCTCAGCGGCAGTCACGCCTCTACCCGCGGAGCAGGTCACTAAGCTCCCCACAAACCACTTCACTAGAGACATGGCGCAGATGGGCAGGTCAGCATGGGAACCCTAAAAATCAGATTCATTCTCATGTCTTTACAGGACTTTTTGGCTTGGTACATTTTATTCATTAGTGGCAGGGTCTGGTATCTGCTATCATCAGCCTGACAACAAAAACGTGGGCCGTGCAGCAACGCAGGAAGAACTCATGGAAGCACAGACAGGAAACCCCATCAACAAACACAGGCAGCGTGGGGCTCCTCAGAAGCGGAAAGGGAAGGAGGTCTCTGCCTTCGCCCGTGGCAACCTCAGTTTCTAGCTATCTGCGATTCCTCCCCTCCCTGTGTATTCCCAGCACACCCCAAGGAAGAACTCTGCTGACTGACAGAACTCGCCCACCTACAGGGGACTCAGGGCTTCTCCTCGGAGCAGTTCTTACAGGTGACAAGGGAAATAGATCAATTCTCGTGTCTAAAATGAAAAATTTAAACCATGCATTTCATTGACAGTAAGCTCCGTGTTTCCTGCATTTTACATTTCTGAAATGAAAAGCCTCCAACATCGATGTCTGCGGGCCCTGACCGGCTGAGGGTCAGTGTCACGTGGCCCCGGGGGGGGGGGCACACGCGAACACATGAGCACACGCTGGTGTGAGCTTGGCGAACTCAAGACAGCGTGGGCTTCTGCAGCCACACTGAAATTCCAGGCCGGTCTTAGCAGCATACTACCTTCAACTTCAATTTCAATCTTCCCTCTCACTGGAAGTATTTTTTCACTAAAACCTGAGAAGTGACAAGCTAGGCAAGTCTGCCTTCTCGTGTAAGGCCACTTGATGAAAACAGCTCAGAAGACAGAGCAGAATTTGCCAAGCAGACCTGGGCGTGGTGGCACACACCTGTAATCCCAGCACTCAGGAGGCTGAGGCAGGAGGATTGTTGGGAATGTGACACCAGCCTGGGCTAAAAGTGAGTTCAAGACCAGCCTATTGAGACGGTGTCTCAAAAACACAAAAAAAAGAAATTTGCAAAGCAAGAAGCTGGTGGGTCTTGGTGATCATCAACCAGGCACTGGACCAGCCAGCTGACTTCCAAGTAGAGTGGAAAAAAAGGAAACAAAGCCTTAATCCAGTAAGAAATGTAGAGGGCATCGCAGTATCTAGCAATGTGCTCCAAAGGCACCAACGGAAATCATGACACGAGCAGGAAAAATTCCCAGTCTCATCCACGCTGTACACAGGTCCTCCGTCAAAACTCGTTTCTGAGGGTCCTTAGATTCGAAGTGAAATTATGAACTGATACAAAGGGGAAAGTGGCACATAGTATAAGGATATGCTCAAATTTAAACTATCAATCAAATTCTTTCAAGCCAGGGGATATAGCTCAGTGGTATAAGAGCCTGTCTGGTAAGCGCAAGGTCCTGAGTTCGATTCCTGGTACCAAAAATAAATAAATAAATAAATAAAATTCTTTCGCACAGGCTGGGCACAGTGGTATGTACCTGTAGTCTCAGCTACTTGGGAAACTGAGGCAGGAAGGATCACTTGGGTCCAAGGGTTTGAGGCCAGCTTGGGCAAGAGAGTAAGACCCCCCCCAATTCCAAACAAACAAAAATTAAATTTCCTTAGTGTATTTCAAATGGAACTGAGTTTGGGCAGATCCAATATGTGTTTAAATCCCCAGGCATACACTCGTGTTTGCGGAAGGGTTTGGCCACACCTCTACCGCAGGAAATAACCGCATGGTGAAAACAGGGCTGCCGGTGTGGTTCTCAGAAAAGGGCCATGTGCCCTCCCAGAGGGGCACACAGTGTAGGTGCGCACAGGACTCAATACACTTCCAAGATTTAAGAATGTCACAGCCGTGTCATGAATTTTAAAACAACCTTTTGCTGTTGTTGCGGGAAACTGATCTCAGGACGCTGCACTTGCCAGGCAAGTGCTGTACCTCTGCGCTACGTCCCTGGCCCTAAAACAACTTCTTGAGGAATAAAAATGCAAAACTATTCTAATGAGGCGTGGGAGAGAACATGAGCTCTACTGCTACCCTGGCCCCGTGCCCGGTCCTCTCGGAGCCACAGGGCCGGTAACAGAGGCTGAGCATTCGCGCAGCATCAGCTCGTGACGCTCGAGGATTCACCGCCGTGGCTGCACGATCGGCACGTGCTTTTCCTGTCGGCTACAGAGTCCACACCTGAGGCAGGGCTGCGATGTTGGAAACCCAGAAAGAGGCATTAGGAAAAGTCTCACAGCCTGGATACCCTGGTCAGAGCTGGGCCAGGGAGACGGGACCTCTCCCAGCGACAGCTCTCAACAGAGAAGCGGGCACTCTTCCACGCACGGAAAGTGATTCCAGGAAAGATGCTGCTGTGTAATACGATGCGCAGTAGGATTTTATAGACTTGAAACGGGCACCGCCGCCTGTGGGAAGCTTACACGGCAAATGCTGACACCGTTTCAACCTAATTCAAACATCGACCTTCCTGGATTGATGTCCGACCTCGGGGCAACACCTCTGGGCTCTCTGACGGCTCTCTTGCCACTAATTTAATGAAGTGGCCCTGACTCCTGTGCCAGGCCCTATTTATAGCTGGGGTTATTTCTGAATACCGCTAGGCACAAATACCAACTCTGCCCAGGGGAAACTTGGATTTAAGAGCAAAACTGTAACACAGTGAGGCAGAAGGTCAGAGGGAAAGGGCTGTATCTTCCTGTTCAAAGTCACTTAGGAACCCACGTGGTGCTGTCTGCTGTGTTTGCAGGGGTGAACATTTAGCAGCATGCTGGGCCCTTTAACCAAGCAGTGGGGCTGGGGCAGTGAATATGTGCACGTGTGCCCGCACACCCCCCAAGCCTCAGCCCCTGTCCCTATCCTAAATTCCAGAAATCCAGGCAGCTGGACCAAAGGAGACAAGCCTCTCAGGGTACACACTGCTCACATTCTGTAGATCACAAGAATATTCTTTGTCTGTTTTGAGACAGGGTCTCATTGTGCAGTTTAGGCTAGTCTTAAACTCACTATGTAGCCCAAGATGGCCTTGAACTTGTGGAGATCCTCCTGCCTCAGCTTCCTAAGTGCTGAGATTACAGGTGTGCACCACCAAACCGGGTACGGACACTCTTGCAATAGAGAAAGAAGACTCCCTCATTTTAGACCTAACAGGAGGTGAACCTGATGAATGGCTGTGAATCTGAACCTGTTCTCAGGTTTCTCACAAATGATTTTAAGTAGGTTTTCCCCCAAACTGACTGGATGACAACCAGGAGAACCGGCCTATGTTCTGGATCCACTCACCACCCCCGCTGAGCCGATGCTGTCCTGTTTGGGTTCAAATCACATCCCCAAGTCAGGCTCCCAGAAGTTAGTTCCTAAGCACCAACACACATGCAGGTAAGACTCCATTCCTCAGATACCTGGACCCAAACTGGACACAAGAAAAATCATCACCACCACTACCACCTTCATCATCACCATCACCACCATCATCTTCTTCGTTTTCTTCATCGCTACTGTCCCCAGAAAGCGCGAGGAAGAGGAAGGAGAAGGGAGTGTCGTACATGCTACCGCACGGAAACAAAAATGGGCGTCAGGGGACAAAGGTCAAACCAGCAGGGGGAGTATTAGCATCTACTGTCTGTTTTAAAATCAATCGTATGCTAAAAATTTGGCCCACTGCCATGCAGAAAAATAATGCACCAAGATTATAGCAACACACAGTACATTTGAGAGAAGGGGCCTCCGGATTCATGCAACTCTGATATACCACTGCTTTCTACCAGGCTAGAAATACATGTAGCCAAACAACCAGAGCGCCAAGGCAGGAAGAGACCCAGCTGCACTCACCGGGAGGAGAAGACAAGAGGCCTCAGACCTGGGCCCCCGCTCCCGTATGTCAACCCCTCTCGGCCGCAGTGCAAACAGCGAAACAGCAACGCTCCGAGCCCCGACTCTCAAATTCAGCACTGACCACGTTATACCAAACACACGAGGGGTGAGGGGTGACACACAAAATAGACGGCAAACTCGGTTCATTCTTTCTGTTTTGGTACAGGGAGGAGGAAGAGCCCCGGGAAGGAGGGAAGACAGGGATGCGTAGTAGGGCGACCCTTGCCTTCTGGTGTGGTCAGCGCCTGGTAGCAGGGACTCGGGGCACACGCCACCATACTCGTTAGCAACACAGGTTAATGACCCGAAACACCCAAGTGTAGCTGAGGTCAGTGGCACATAGCAGGTCTTCTGAAGCGCGTTAATTGTGCTTTCCCTGCACTGCAAACACACACTCGCAGCTCTCCTGCCGGATAAATACCTAGGAGACATCCGCAGGGAGGAGGGACGTCTGCTGGCGACACTGGGCGAGGCGGGCGGGACAGCTGGGCCCGCACTCGGCGGCCTCAGTCTTGAGGTGCCAGCTGGGGGGCTCCCCACGAGGGCAGGGAGGCTGGGAGAGCTAGAGGGGATGGGCTGCAGGATGGCGCAAGGTGGAGACGGCCCTGGGTGCGTGACAGTGTAGGGCCGGTAGCGCGGGGACAGGGATAGGGACAGGGATGAGGGCTGGCTTCCTGCTGCAGATCCAGAAGCTGCCGCATGAGGGCTGAGGGACAAGCGGGAAGGGGATGCAAAGGACGGACCTGCCACTGGCCCCGAGCCCCAGGGACCAGCGGCGGGGGCCGGGCTAGTGTCATAGAGGCTGCATCAGGTGGGAAACGTAGGAAAGAAGAGAAAAATCGAAGAAAGACTTGAGAGAACTAAAATGGACAACTGCAGGCTTTTAAAGAACAGTACAACAGTACTTCAGGTTTCTGTGAGTTCAAGTACACAAATCAGGTAAGTGGTTAAATAATTTTAATCTAATTGCAACAGCGATCTCGAGGTGACGACAAGCTCCCTTTTCAAAGAATAATGTAGTGTATGGAGCCATCTGCTTCTAACCCTTAACCTACCAATAGCCCAACCATGAAAGCCAAAACCCCAATCTAGAAAGATAATACAGTAACCCTCCAGAGACTAAGCCCGCCCCACCACGCGGCCACACCGTCCGCCCAGGGCCCGGGCAGCCGCGGGAGTAAGTGCACCCTACTCCTCCCAGTGTCTTCCTAGGAGAGGCCCACACTGACCTAGACAAGGAGCCGGCGCCGAAGGAGCCCAAGCCGCAGAACATGGGGCTGCTTCCAGGGTTGGAGCCGGTATTCAGCATGAGATTTCGGTCCAGCGACCGAGCCGCCGCCGCGATGGGCTGGGACGTGGCGGTGAGACTGGCGAACGGGTTTTCGTCTCTAGTCTGGGTAGACATCATGAGCACTTCCATTAAGATCTGGCCAATCAAGTCCTTAAAATCAGAGAACACTGTTGGGAAGGCAGAGTAGAGAACAGGTTACACACGGCGCTTCCGGGACACGGTCCTCGAATAAACCCACGGAGACCCGAGCAGCTCACGGGGGTCCTCGCCCGGCTTCTGGAACAGAGGAAGCACATGCATGGGTAACCTGGTGACACCTGAATACAGTCTGGTGGTTGGTCTGCAGTAGTCTCTCCAATTTGGCAAATGTACCATGGTTATGAAAACGTTAGCCTTCAGGGAAGCTGGCAAAGAGTATACAGGGTCTCCTTGGACTATCTTCGAACCCTTTCTGTGGACCTAAAATTACTCCAAAATTGAAAATTTACTTAAAAAGAAATTGGAGTGAGGTCAATGAGAGTTAATATATAGCGTTGATATTTACCTATAAAAGGAAGTTACTCCTGACGACACAGGTCAGGTTATCATACTACAAACACAACTGGGTTAATATTTCTCAGCCAATACACTTTTTATACATGGTAAAACTATTGAGTCCAAGGTTCAAAAGACTTCATGAAGGGCCTGATGTTCAGTCACTCTCTGGCTTTCTGGAGCAGACTTATAGTCCAGCTTCCTTATTATTCTTCACAGTTTTGAGCAGATTGGTTGCTGGTCTTTACTACATTCTAAATGTCACTCAACAAAAGTCCTGCTCCCTATAAATTTTACATGCCTTTGTTATTAAAAGTTATCATTTATAGGTGTGAGACAGGTTTGAGAATCTTAAGATTTATAGTAAGAACAGCAAGTGAGCCAAGCAGGGTGGTGCACATCTATAATCCCAAAACTCAGGAAGCTGAGGCAGGAGGATTGCCACAAGTTCAAGGCAAGTTTGGACTAGATAGAGAGTTCAAGACCAGCCTGAGCTACACAGTAAGAACCAGTTTCATGAGAAAAAAAAAAAAAAGGCCAGGAATGTAGCTCATCAGCACAAGCACCTGCCTGGCAAATACAAGATCCTGAGTTCGATTCCCAGTACCAAAAAAAAAAAAAAAAAAAAAAAAATCCAGTAACAAATATCCAGGAAGTTCACTGTATTCTAGTGACAGGTGCAGAGCACTCCCACACACCCCCATCTGAGCTGTACTCCAAAAGACCGCTATGAAGAAAAACCACGGAGCTCTAGAAGGCGGTAACTTGCTAAAAGTTTTATTTTCTTTTATGTGAGGCTCAGCATAGCTGACCTCTTACAACACAACCCTGGAAACAGCGAAGTGTCAATATCGCCCATCTTCTAAGCACCCGCATCAAACAGACTTCCACCACTGCCTCCAGACGGCCCGGCAGGCAGGTACAGCAGGTCTCGCCACATGCAGGGGCCCTCTTGGGGTCCCTGGAGACCATGCAGGAAACCCTCTTTCCAAGGGGAGCTCATCCCTCCCGCAGCATCTCCCACCATAGGGAAAAGCTTCAACTCCCAAAACAACCGAGTTCATCAACTGAACTATGTAGTTTTCTTTGGCAGGAGTCACAGCAGAGACTACTTTACCGTACACAGCGTCCTCGACACACAGTACCACTGCAATCAGAAGCAAACAGCAAAGCAAGACAGGGAGCTGGGATGCAGAGAAGCACAAAGCTCGCTCTCGCTCGCAGGGTTCCCAGGAAGTGCTCTGAGGGAAATGCTAGACGCCTACCTTCTTTTGGGTTCTGCTTGAACTGTGCAGAGAGAGAAGAAAGGAAGATGACGTCTCTGTCCCGGTCCTTCCACGAGACACGGAAGATCTTACAGACCAGCTGCAAGGCCTGCTCTTCGGACACTTCAGGGCCCGAGGCAGGCTCCTGGCAGAAGAGGACCCGGGTCAGTCTCTAATGGAAGGCAGGCGGCAGGCATTTCAGTGAAAATGTCCCCCAGACTGAACTCATGCATCAAACAGGATATTCTTCCAGTGCATAAAACCATTCACTGATTAAGAGAGAAGGAAACCTGCTACTATGACTCTGAAGGTCTCCTGAGCTCACAGGGGAGCAGAAAAAAACAGCAATCAGATGAACTGTGAGCCAGGACGCACACAGAGCCTGCTGACTTTCTTGCAGGGGTCCCCAACCCACACCAGTCTGTGGCCTGTTGGGAAAGGGGGCTGCACAGCAGAGGTGAGACGGAAGGAGGGAGGAGGAGAAGGGAGGAGCTTCCTCCACATTTACCAGTTCCCACCTGAACTCCGGCTCCTGTCAGATAGGGGCATCAGATCTCAGAGGGGCACGCCCTACTGTGCACTGCGCATGTGCGGGATCTGGGCTCCCTGCTTCTTTGCATCCTGCCCAAAGCATCAAGCTTCTGGGGACCTGCTCCAAGGGACCAGGTTCACAAATCAGGTCTATCACTTTCCTCATAACTTAATGTTTCTCCTTATGTTCCATCTCATTAGGGTCTTTTTAAAAAAGTGCCTCATTTCTTTGAGCACCAGTGTATATCTTCCTATAATAAATCTCATGCCTCTTAAAAAAAAAAAAATCACGTAAGAACTTCATAAGCACCAAAGAAGTACACAAACTAAAGCACTGCACCATTCGGAGGCTATAGTCCAAAATGTTGCTGAAAGTATTCCTGACAATGTACTCACAGGCAGGGATGCAGTGACCTGTACCATGGCCACCAGAAGAACAAAAACAAGCCCCAAGAGCCCTATATTTAGAACACTGTGCTCAGGAGATAATAAAGACCTCATCATTTCAAATGCTCTTACTTGCTACTGGATTTTACATATTCTGGTTTCAATAAGCATTTCCCTCAGAAAACATCCCAAAATGTGATGATGATCTACTGACTTAAGGGAAAGACCTATAAAAAAACTAATTCCTGTTACAAGCTGAATTTACTGATAAGAATACTCACCCAACCAAGATAACCGAGGAATTTTACCAGATTCAAGGACTGAATTACGCTTCCATTTCAAAGGGCAGTCCAGACTGCCGCTTCTTCAAAAAGAAAATCGTAGCCCGGCGTGGTGGCGCACGCCTGTAATCCTAGCACTTGGGAGGCAGAGGCAGGAAGATCGCTGTGAGTTCGAGACCAGCCTGGGCTACAAAGTGAGCTCAAGGCCAGCCTGAACTGCAGAGCGAGACCCTGTCTCAAAAAGACAAAAAAAAAAAAAAAAAGAAAAAGAAAGAAAGAAAGAAAGAAAATCGGGTCCACACAGATGTGCTGGTGAGGGGTCCCTAAGCAGTCTCTGCAGACAAAGACAGGACCACGGGTGTCTGTGGCCCCGGCACGAAGGCCAAGGGAAGCCGCCTCGCCTACCCACCTTGTCACCAAGGCTCCTCTTCTCTCGTCGGTCGTTCTCGTCAACCTCCATGTTTTCGATTCCCGAGTCCACATCCACCTGGGACATGCTGGGAGGAGAAAAGACAGTGGGGCCCTCCGCCCTCCACGGGACAGCCAGTCACAGCCGCCGAGAGAAGGGCTAGACAGCAGTCAAAACCAGCCGAGAAGGCCAAATGACCCAAGTTCACCTTTTGTTCTTAATTTTTAAGAGCTCCTCGTCTGTGGCGATATCAGAGCCCCTCTCAGATATGTTAGAAATACCTCCCCCAAGGCATCATTACCTTGGGCTCACCTTCAAACAAGGAGTCAGGAGAGCAGTCTTTAGATGTATTATCATTTTAAAATGATTCAAAAAAAAAAAAAAAAGATTGAGTACAAAGCTGGTTAAGTGTGTATTATTTTCCTCCCAGATGGGCTTAGTGGGACAACATCTGTAATCCCAGCACTCAGGAGGCTGAGGCAGGAGGATCGCCGTGAGCCTGGGCTACATAGTGAGTTCAAGGCCAGTCTGAACTACATAATGAATGAGATCTTGTCTCAAAAACAACAACAAAAAATTATTCTCCTCTCACAATAAGTGACTATCCACCACCACTTGTTGAAAAGCCCGTCCTTTTTAAACTGACAGGGAAGTGCCTAAGTCATACATGTGACTGTCCTATCTGCGTGGGGCCTATTTATGGGTGCTCATTCCTGTCCCACTAGATAACCTGGCTGTGGGCAACCACTGCATTACTACAACCTCACAGTGCATCTAGAAATCGCTGGGTCACGCCCGCCTCTTCCACTCCGAGCGCAGACTGGCTCTTCCTGGCCCCGTCCTCTCCATGCGCACCAAAGCATCAGCTTGGCGAGTGTCTGGAAGATTCTGCTGGTGTCCTGCCCTCAGAGATCAGGCGGGGGACAAACAACATCATTATGTGTCTGAGTCCTTATTGCTCTCATGTGCCTACGCTTCCTTCAAGGACTTCCAATGGACTTTTCATTTTCTCCATAGAAATCTTGTACTTCTTTTGTTAAATTTATTCCTACGTATCATAGTTTTTAATGAGCATAGACAGTAATCCCCCCCCCCATTTTTTTTGCAATACTGGCAATCAAACCTAGGGCCTTCGCACGGAGCTACATCCCCAGCCTTACTGACTGACCGATGGATATAACAGTATCTTGCTAAACCCTAAATTACCCAGGCTATGCTCAGAGGGCTGTGATTTCAGGTGTGCACCACCAAACCCAGCTGCTACCTTTTTAACAATGACATTTTCTTAAGTTGTTGTTGGCACATAATCATATAACTGATTTTAAACACACAGCTCTTGTCAGCAATGGCTACCTATCCCTAAGGTGCACTGCATACACAATCGACTTTATCTCCCAAAAGTAACTGTTTGCTTTCTTCCACTCCAATCCTTCCTAGTCTCACTGCACTGGGCAGGGCCCGCACGTTGGACAGAGGCGGAAACAGCAGTCTCCTTCGTCCTAGTTACTAACTTCACGGAGACTGATTCCAACCATGGAATGGGAGCTGCTGGAGTTTGGGGGCTCACGGCCCTGCAGGAAGCCAGAACAAGACGCTATGCTGTCCCCACAACGCGCTCAGGGAGCCTGGAGGTTGGACGCCACAAGGGTCAATTTCTGGCTTGCACCAAGTCTGGTGGGAGGGAAGCACCCGGTGCACCTGTGGTCTCCCACAGCGCAGAGCCAAGTCCCTGGGGCGACAGTGTGAATGAGGAGGGCACCAGCTCGCCTTTGACCGTCACTCCCATTCGCAGTCTGCTGGACACAACCAGGCCCGTGGCCGCTGTCCAGCGCAGGCAGAGGCTGGGAAAGGTCAGGGACTCGCGGGATATCTGGTGATCCATCCCGGTCTCTGCCGCGCTGTGGTTTCTTTCTGCCTTTTATCTTTCTTGGTGCTGAAGATGAAACCCAGGACCTGACGCCCTCTGCACAGCGCTTGCGACATGCTTAGCTCTGCCCTGGAGGCTTCCAGGCACTTCTGTCTCTCATGCGCTAAGACTTTCATCACGGATCAGTACGGGATTTTATCAAACTTGCAGCTGCCAACATTATAAGGGTCTTTTCTTTAAGATACGACATGGTGGGGGACACTTACAGACTTCTTAATGTTAAAGCACTCGGGAGCTCCTGAGCCAAACTCAGGCTGATTACGGTCTATTTATACTACACTATTTTTAAGTAAACTTGTCATTCAAATGTACAGAACCCTGCACTGGAATATGTTTGGCTGAATAAATTGCAGCAAATAAACATACAAATGTAATCAGCACCCAGATCAGGAACTGGAACATTCGCATGCAACCCCAAAACCCCAACTTCCTTTTTAAGCATTTGCACGCAGACCCCAGTATTGACATCTAACCAGCCTGGCTTTCATGTATTTATATATCTGCAGTATTTGATTTGTCAATATTTTAATATATCTACCAATAGTCTGACAGTATGATTAAAATTACTTTTCTTCTTTGATATTAGTCTTGTCTGGCTTTAACATTAAGGTCACATGAGCCTCATAAGTTGAGTTTAAACGTTCTCTATGCTTTTAATTATCTGGGAAAAAAATCTGTAAATTGGAAAAAAAATTTTTAAATACTGATTTACTGTATTTCGTGGCTTTTGATTATTTCGCTTCTCTCTTTCCTGCTGAGTCAATTCTGGGGAGAATGATGCGCTCCCAGAACTAAGATTTACCCCCAAGATTTGAAATTTACATGCAGTATGCACGTTCACATTTTTCACAGGATTCTCTGCTCCAGTAACAGCACTGACTGCTATTCTATGCAGGCATTGTTCTAGGTGTAGCAGACACTGCTGAGCAAAAGAGACAAATAACCCCTGCCTTACAGAGCCTGTATGCTGTGGAGGGGGCGATAATAAACTCTCAGGATAGTCAAAAAAAGCAATGCATGTGAAATACAAACGAGAAATGCTATGGGAAAATGAAACCAAGTGAGTCAGATAAAGGCCATAAACAATGTAAGCCCTCTCCGTTTTAGTGGGAATTTACACAAGTACTCATTTCCTTCTGCTCACTTAAAAAAGAAATCAGGAAAGCAGATCCTCTATCTGAAACTTTCCAAGCTTTAACACTCCAGTGATTAGTAAAACTGTGAGAAAATTTTTAGGGACTGATGTATGTTTGCTCACTTTGTAGTTACAAAATAAAGACACTGGAGAGACTTTAAAAACCCACACATACTATTATTTTATAAAATACTTTTTTTTGCTTTGTTTTGAGACAGGGTCTCACTATGTAGCCCAGGCTGGCCTCAAACCTGAAGGGGATCCTTCTGCCTCAGCCTCCTGAGTGCTGAGATTACAGAGGTGCCACACTGCTTGGTGATTTCATAGAAGATATCTAATACCAAAACATACATAAAGAACATTTCAGAGTAATAAAAGGGTCTTTCAGTGTAAGAATGTGGCTGCAGCTTGGTGCAGACTGGCACAGGTCTCGAGCGGGCATTTCAGAATGCAGGGTAGACACTACAGCCAGTGCATCCTTTCGTTCCTCTTAGGGCGCTGGCTTCCCTTACCTTTTCTCACAGGAGACGCCATCGATATCCATGCTCTGGGAGCGCGACAGGGACTGAGACTGCGTCTCTAGGCTGTTGGAGGGCGAGCTGCTCAGAGAGCTGACGCCCTCACTGCTCTGGCTCCGATGCGCGACTCCTAGACAGAGGGCAGAGTGGTGAAGCCCGGGTCGGTGGCAAAGCTGTGGCAGCAATGCCACTGTTGACACCTGCAAGCCAGGCAGTGCCCGCGGATGACGTCCAAGGCTGCAATCATGTTCAAGTCAAAACAGAGTGAGGAAAAGGCACGATCTGCCGTCCGTGAGGGCAGTGACAGTAACACCGAGGCCTGAAGGCGGCCTCTCCTCAGCTCTTTCCCCAGTTCAAACTCTGTCCCTGATAACCTACAACTGTCTTTGCTACATACCCAAAATGAGGTTCATTAATAGATGTGCGATTAACCATGAAAAGGTGGTGGTGGGGTAGACTCTCTATGGTAGAGGTGGAGGTGGTCACATTCTTTCAACCTTGCTATATGTTTGACATTTTCAAAATAAAATGTTGCGAAGTTCACACAGACTCAACTAAGCAATCTCCTTTAATGGGTTTTAATTTCTGGGTGGAAGATTTGGGGGAAAATAAAAAATCGACACGGTCCTTGCTGTCACAGAGCTTATGGTAAGCTCCAAGAGTTAGCTGTTATGAACTGTGCTGGTATAAACGTGGGTATGCGTGGACCACTGCTGTATGATGTCTTTAACTCTTTGGGGAAGATACGTAGCGCGGGAGAGAACAGCTGGCTTGGGTGAACTTCTAGTTTTAGTTTTCTGAGAAATCTCCGTCGTGATCTCCATAGTGCTTGTACTAGTTTACATTCCCATCAGCAATGCAGAAGGGTCCCCTTTCCCTGCATCCTCGCCAGCATTTGCTACTATTTGGCTTCTTAATGGCTGTTCTAGAAAAGATGGGACTGGGTTCATGCTTTCAGAGGGTACGGTCCATGCTTCTCCTGGGGCTGTGGCGAGCAGAGCACTATGGGGCGAGCTGACGGCACAGTGAACCAGGAAGCAACAGGAGACAGACGACTTAAGAGGCCTAGTACTCCTTCAAGGGCACACCCCCAGGGACCACTTCTTTCCCCTAGGCCTCACCCCATAAAAGTTGCTCCACTTCCCAAGAGTGCCACAGACGGGCATCCACGCCATCAGCACGTGGCCTTTGGGGGGCACCTCAGGTCTGAATCTAAGATGGTCTGAAAAGAACGTGTGCTCCTAAGTGGACTCACTTCCCACATGACAGCCGTCGTGCTCCTTATCTCTGTGCCCAGGGTCTCTCTCCCTAACTCCACGTCCCCCCAGTGTCCACATGTACAGACTGCATTTCACAGTAGGTACTTAGTTAGAATCACCAAGTGCCAGGGGCTTTGGGGACACTTGCTAAATTTATGGTTACAGCACTAAGTGAATACTATTAATGAACTCTGAGACTTAAATTATCGAAATTCTGGTGCCTCAGTTTCTCTATCTGTACAATGATGGAACCGAAGTACAAAAATCTCCACCCCCTTCCAGTTCGATTAAAGTTAAAAATCATGCATTCAGTTATGTTTTCAAAACTATGCTGTTTACAACACAAAACTAAATATTGAGCAAGGCATGGTAGTGCACGCCTGTAATCCCATCACTCAGGAAGCAGGAGGATCGTCCAGGAGTTCAAGACTAGCCTGGACTATAGAGCAAAACCCTGTCTCAAAAAAACGAAACAGAAAACTAAATATTGACCGGGCGTGGCACTCCGGAGGCTGAGGCAGGAAGACTGCAGAGTTCGAGGCCGGCCTGGGCTATACAAGCTCTATTTCCTTGAATTTGTATCTTTTACTTTCTGGCCATTAAGTCTTTTAAATAAATTTGCTTGTATCCCCCAAAAAACACATGGAGTTTTCTGCTAAAATTCACTTGCCTTAAACTCTAATCAGGAGACTGGGGAAGATGACCGGAAATGCTTCCCCACACTCCCAGGTCAGTGTGGCCTGCCTCCTGGACGCTGACTACACCCTCGATTAGACAAAAGAGAAATGGAAAGTGGTTTCTTTTTTTCCCACCCCAAAATTTTCAATCTAGGCGGGGTAACAAGACAAATGCACAGAAAATTCAGGGTGACTTTTGTGGCACAACCTCTATAGGTCACGGGCCTTCTACGAGGAGGACAATGACTGGGCTAGAACAGAGAAGACACTCTCAAAATCAGGACATCAGCTACAGAGGACTCTGAAAGCCTGGGGCTCCAGGCAGAAACGGAGTCCTGGGAGGCAGGTGAGTACAGGCCTCGGCTCTCCAGAGCTGCTGCTCACTAAGAACTAGAGGCAAGTGCTACAGAAACGTCTCTGGCAGGCAGAGTCCTCCCGCACTCTTGCTACACCGGGAAACACCAGCAAGGGCGTGAAGGCAACACTGCACAGACATAGTTCCTGACCCCTGTGCAGCCCCCAGATCCGGGGCTGCAGGAAGGAGGGAGGGAGCGGGGAGAGGACTGTGACTCCCAGCAGGACCCGCCTCTCGCCAGTAACAAGCAGCACTTTGTGCAGACACACGGAGTAATCTGCAGGTTGCCGCAGCTGGGCACTAACGTAACACCCTTGGGCAGCCACAGGGCCCCTTCGGGGCGAGGGAGTGAGTAGCCAGGCTCCCAGAGGATGCACCTGTCCCTCAGGAAAGTAAATGCACGTGTGAAAGCATAGGCGGTCCGCCAGCAGTAGCGGCCTCCACTGCTCGTACCCTTTTCAGGGCCCCGCTGCAGGCCAGGATCTCGGCGCTTTTGCCTGATTCTCTGCCTCTAGTGCCTCTAGCCAGATTTTTTTAGGGGGAGTACAAGGGGTGCTGGGGATCGAACATAGGGCCTTACATATGCTAGCTAGGCAGTTAGTCTACCACTGAGCCACATCCCAGACCCTTTTATTTTATCAATTTCATTTTGAGACAGTCTTGCTCAGTTGCCTAAAGTCGCAATTCTTCTGCCACAGCCTCCTAAGTGGCTTGGACTGTCCCAGCTCTTTTCCTACTCCCACTGCATTACGCACCCAGCCCCCAGCTATCTTCGACCTCATCCATACCTCCCTCTCCCACACTGCGGATCACGCACAGGATGGGGAAGAAAGGACTTGAACAACCATCAGTGACAGAACAAAAGGTTACTATTTCATTGTCACTTACAGCATTCTTAGACACAGACAATTTACTATAAAAGAATGGCTTTGATTTAGTTGAAATTCCTACTAAGCAATAATGATGTTCATTAGGCTCAAACTGAGAGCCGGATGTGGTAGCACATGCCAGCAATCCCAGCACTCTGGGAGGCCGAGGCAGGGTGATCAATCACAAGTTCAAATCTAGCCTGGGTAATTTAGCAACTTAGCAAGATTCAGCCTCAAAAAACGTTAAAGGCCTAAGGAGGTAGCTCAGTGCCTAAAGACTCTGGTTTCAACCTCCAGTGCCTCAATCAGTCAGTCAGTCAGCAGGGGCTCAGAGATGTAGCTCACTCAGTACAAAGGCCCTGAATTCAGTTCCCAGTACAGAACAGGACAGACTCAAGCTACAGAAGGAAAATACGGTGACTGCTGTCCAAGCCCCTTCTTGCCCCAGGACTTCTGCACTGACTTTCCTCCTATTTGTAAACTTGATCCCACCTGGTTTTGCCCCTCCCTTTATTCAGGTCTCTGCTCAAGAGGTCTCCTTCTTGGGCCTCCAGCGACTACCTTTAAAATGCACTGTCATCCCCCAACCCGCCCCTCACCCAAGCAGTCTGCACTCCAACACACTAGCTCTTGTGGTGGCAGTGACTGCCACCTAACAGGTCCAGTGGGCTTCTGATTGTTTGTCTGCTCTCACTAAACTATGAGCCACCTGGCCTAGGACAGAAACTAACACAAGATAATTTAAAGAAATATTAAATGAAGACAGTGTAAATTCATAGTGTTTAGTAAATCACTGATAATAGCTAAAACACAGAACAAAATATAACAAGCAAAGTTAGAGGGATACAGCCAGGTGTGGTGGCACATGCTTGTAATCCCAGCACTCGGGAGGCTGAGGCAGGAGGATCGTTGCAAGCTCAAGACCAGCCTGGGCTACAAAGTGAGCTCAAGGCCAGCCTGAACTGCACAATGAGACCCTGTCTTAAAAAGACTAAAAAAAAAAAAAAAAAAAAAAAAAAAAATTTAAGAGGACTACAAATAACTGTACTAGGATATGGAAGGATTTTCCTACCTTTAAAAGAATCCTGGTGTTTTTTTTTTTTTTTTTTATTAAAAAGGTAGACTTTTGAAAAAATATACAATGTAGCCTGGTGTGGTAGCGCACACCTGTAATCCCAACACTTGGGAGGGTGAGGATCGTTGCAAGTTCGAGGCCAGTCTGGGCTACAAAGTGAGCTCAAGGCCAGCCTGAATGGCACAGCAAGACCATTTCAAAAAGACCAAAAAGTAAAAAAATTAAAAACATAAAAATAAAAATATACAATGATTTATGATAGTCACCATTTTGGACAGCAGATGACTAATGCTTACTTCCCTTGTTCAGATGAAATTTCGCCCCTGTGGTCCCTGTCTCCCCTTTCCCCATGCCCCGCCCGCCCCTGTGGTAAGCGCCAGTCCCTCTACATGTCACTTCCGTGAGTAACTTGTTTAGATCCCACGTGTAAGTGAGAGTGTGCAGAATCTGTCCTTCTGTGCCTGGCTCATTCCACCGAGTGCAACACCCTCCAGGTGCATCTGCCACTGGGCACACAGGTCGCGTCCCTATCCGTTCATCTGGTAACACACTGAGCCTGTTCACACTGGAGCCACATGCGCAGTGCTGACTGCGGGTCCTCTGCCGCACACACCCAGATGTGCAAGTGCTGAACCATGCGGGAATCTGTTTTTAGTTTTCCAAGTGTACTACTCACTTTCTTGCTGGGACAAAATTCCTGACACCCCCAAATTAAAGGAGGAGAGGTTTATTTTGGATCAGTTTTTAAATTAATTAATTATTTATTTATTTATTTATTTTTGGTACCAGGAATCAAACTCATGACCCCACGCTTCCCAGGCAACTGTTTATGCTGCTGAGCTATGTCCCCAGCCCTTGGCTCAGTTTTCAGAGGGTTTAGTCCATGGCTGGCTGG